ATTTAACACAAGAACACTTAAGATATTGTACTTCTTTGAGAATTTTTTTTTTATTTTGGGACTGAGGTATAGCAATCGCCATGGGCATCTGAAGCTTTGACGCAAAAGCAAATGATTTGATCCAGGACAAACTTTGGTAAGTGACGTTTCTAATTTTTGTATTTGATATTGTTCACTTTTTATGTTAAGTAAATATTGTCTTTCTATGCGATGGGGAAAGTATCTGGATCGATACATCTTCAAGTACTAAGGACGCTCGATTTGAATACGTTTTTTGTTCCACAAAAATTCTGTGCAAATCAAGGAATACCTCGTTGTGCCAACTTACTCTTCCCCCATCCCTTACATAAGCATGAATATCAGGATAGATTTTTTCATAAAAACCCAAAAATATTGAAGAAATTTTTGTTACATACCCCCCCCCCCCCCCCCCTCTGACTACCGGCCTGCTGAATACACTTTACAGCATTAAAAATCTATCGTGCACAAATATCTTAAATAAACGTGAGTATCATAAATAAAGAAAAATCTTGATGATTTAATAGATGTGCTGAGTTCATGAGCACACATTCAACATAATGAAATATTAAATTGTATGAAGTAAGAAAGGAGGGTTTAAACTATTACAATGTATGTGTATCAAAAGCACTTGACTTGCAAGCATCACTGTCATTTTTATGAAGCTCCACGTCTGAAACGAGAGGAAGCTTAATGTGTATATAAAGTGACATAAAATTCCTTTAAATGAAAATTAATGCTTGACAATAAATAACAATACGTATATTATATGAGAAAAAGAGGAGGAAAGTGTGTGCTGTGATAAAAATATATTGTCTATGTTATGGCAAAATTGCGAGCATCTACTAAATCAACAGATCTCTATATTTTTATTATTATTAATCAGTTCAAAACGATTGACATATCTCAATATTTCTTCTTGGTACCTCCTATTCCATACATCCTCATTGCTCAAAACTTTCGCTTTCGTTCATGCACGTTTCGACTTTTTAACCCCAAAAAAAAAAATAATATTCTGCCGCACTCATCTCCTATCCTGTTCTCTTCAACAACCAATTCGTAACTTTCAACGTAAATTATTTATTATATAATATATCACGTTCTCTTCCTTACAGCATGTGAAGCAATTTCCTCAATTCTTTTCACTCTCCTTTCTTCTCACTGGGGTCGTCCACATGTTGCGTAACACAGGATTGAATGGGTTGTAAAATTGGAAGTCTTAAAATCCAAAGCTGATCCTCAAGATTGCATTAATGACTTTTGGGATGGAAGAGCTGCTTTTATTTTATTTTTTTGCAAATTGAAAAAACTTAGTCGTTGTAAGGTTCTACATTATCCACCCCCCCCCCCCGCCCCCTCCCCTTGGCAACACCCTGAAGCTGTTACTAAATCTACACTTTGAGAATATAGACAATTAAACTTTAAACAGGTTAAATACCTCGGGCCTCGGGAAGCCTAAGAATCCAGCACCTGATCTTACGTAACTAGTGAATGATCCCATTCCTCATATCTTAGCTTTATTTTCGTTTTTTCAATGTGAACTTATCATGTTTATGTACACACTGAGAATGTCGTGAAATGTATTATGAGGCTTGAAGAATTTTTTCATTCTTGTGCCTGCCTGCCTTCTTATGTACGGCTGTGTGGGAGTAAATTTTAGATGGCATGAAAATAAAATTGTCAATATTTTCTGTCAAGATTTCTCGAACATAAAATTTACATTATGCTGTTGTTCTGATACTTTATTAAGTTCGCTTGTCTTGTTCGTGTCTTCTTAACTTCTTGGGTACTAAATGTTTACAGTCTAAACAGTTATTTCAATTTAAATGATGTTGTAGATGATTTGAGGAAGATTTTGATGAGCATTTGTGATTTCTGAATACTTGAATGGAAGGAAGGACTCTTTTTAATGGTTCAGGCATCCCAATTTAGTGGGAATCGAACTCTTGGAAGATTCAAGAATGCTGTTTTTAATGAAATTTGTATCTGCGTTTCTACGCCACAAGTCAGAACTAGGCTACACAATGTTATTATATCTTCTTTTCGGAATCGTCTCCCATCAACTTAAGGGTCATTCATAAATGCTGTTAAGCAGAAATGATATTTTTTGACCACTTTCTTTGTCTTTTTTTAATTTCGTCTCGAAGTATTGTTCAGCAACAAACCGTTAGAACGACTCTGTGACAGACAAATAATGAATTTTTGGTCCCAGTACTTGAAAAATATTCAAATGGAGGACCCCTGTACCTGAGTTTACTCTTAGCATTGATGCTCAGAGCAAATTCTCAAACTCGAGAAAAACAAACTCTTTGCTACGTAAAGAAGAAACTGTTTACGAGATTACAAAGATTTTAAGCAGAACTCCATCCAGATAATAAATCAAACTACACAAAGAATCATAGTACAATTCCAAGTACATAGTTCAGAAAGGAATTGTGTTGAAGCATGTAATATATTGGTTTTTGATACTGAAAACAATTCGAAATAAAGTGATTCCATGTTTTTCTGTTCCCGCTCAGATCATATGAAGACGATAAAAAAAAGAAGGAGAAGAAACACAGTTAATAGATGCTCTTAAAAACTGCTGACTTCCTTGTTCGTTTGTATCAACATACAACATGCATTCAAACACTCCTTCTTCCTTTCATCTTCCTTAAAATAAAAAAGAAAAAAAAATACCATCTCATGTCGCAGAAATGAAGAAATTTGTATGTCTTGTGCTTTAAAGGCATTATATCGCCATCTCATATGACATTGAATATATGCTGTGTCATATACAATATTGTAAAATTATTCTATACCGTTTCATACTCACTCATTTTTAAGGGGCTCTTGTGCTATGCTGTATGTTTTGTGTTATCGGCAAGTGGAGCACTAAATAGATTCTTATCCACATAAACATTTTAACGATGACAAAATAATATACACAAATATATAAATTTTTACATAATACGTGTACATACATACATTTTACTGCTTCTGATACCGCTTCCTTTTCGGTGCGATATTATTATTATGAGAAAAAAAATTCGCGATGTTATTTCTTTATTTTTTTGTAAGCCCATTCTCTTTCTCAAGTACTGCGAGGGGGTCCATGGTTTCAAAATTATTTACTTTATTAAAATCAATTTTTAAAACTACCTTTTTTTAATTTTTGGAGGGGGAAACAACATGATGTGGAAAAAGTTTATTAAAATTTTAGAAATATTTCTCTTGATATCATATTATTTTCGTTGAACTATACATCCTGTGGTTCAACTCCCACTAAGCAAAGGACTCCTTCTTAAGAGTGTTGTTAAGTCAAGGGGGAAACAACATGATGGACCACTACTCAAACTTTTCTCTTGATGTTATTGCAGTTTTATGACGTAAACTTTGGTTCACAATGAATAATTGGTGTTAATTGGGGAGGGAGTAGGGTTTTGCTTTGACCAAAAACGGCAATGCGATCGATGATCTGTTGTTTTATCGTTGTTGGAGGGAGAAGTATGTCTGAATCTGATTTCTGGTGCTATTAAGACTCCTCTGTGTTTTACAATCAAATTGAGATTTTCGATTCAAATGTTAAGTCTGCTGGAAGCTCTAGAAACTGTATCAGCGACTAATCGAATTTACACCCATAAAACACAGCATAACCTGCAAAAAAAGAAAAACGTCAATTTGAACAATGCTTTTCTAAAACAAAAAACAAATATTCAAACCGTAGACCCCCTCAAGAACACACCGTTCTGTCAACTATATTACCATTTCAGAGGGTCGACGCAATATATTGATGATGACGATGCTATCAATATATCGCTTACCATAAAACTGCTTAAAAATTTAGCGCACTCTCTCCAAAATGCTGGTGTGTACATACATTATATCATCAAAAAATATTTTATATAAAGGAAACGAGACAACATCGTTGAATGAAAACATTTTTTTTTTTTCATCATACAAATATACCGAAAGGATCATATGGGAAATTTAACGTTTACTGAACGCCATATCGCATTTTCATTCAACGGTACTGTCGATATTTTATGTGCAGCCTATGTGACAAATTCGCTTTGGGGGGTTAAAAATGATATAAAAATATCTTTCTCGGAAAATGGCTCATATTGATAAAAAATGTACGTATGTAATCATAAATTACTAAAAAGGCATAGAAATAATTTGTAAACTTCCTTTCGATGGATGTAAGCTAATATTTAAGAGGCTGATGTGCTGTATGGCACTTTGGAAGTGGATTTGTTGGGAGTTTTATATTTTCAGGTTGCAAAGGCTAGAATTTTTTTTGTAGATGGGGCTGGGGGGTTGAATATGCACTCATCTATAGCCCCATTCCCCAAAAAATTAGATATTATAAACACAAACATCGCTATAGTCACTAACATACAACCCACCATAGACATTTTATGCTCTTTTTTCTTAGAAGAAGTGATTCACGCTATCAAATGAATAATATGATGCTGTAGAAGTGGAAGGAACAATGTTAAATGTGTTATGTATACCTTCTAACACTCCATTACGCAAGAATTATTTATGTTGTCTCTTATGCTGCTTTTTTTGGGCAGCAATCTTTGTATCTTTTTCTTCCTACTCATTCACTCGAGAAATCTGATGGATTCGTCTCAAGTAACTGTGAATGAATGCTTTAAAATCGTCATTAGCAAGCTATAATTGTCATTTTTTGGAAGGAATGTGAACTGTTTGAGATATTCTCGTTAATTTTGCATTTTTCAGCTTGATGGCACTTGAATTGCAACTTGACTCTAATATTCGCATGCTGACGGATATAGCAAGTTGCTTTTGAATTTTTGATGTACTAGCTTTTTAATGAACGGTAAAAATAAATTTGAATTTTTCTTAAATCTGTTTGTTGATTTGAATTTTTAAAAGCCGTTATGCAAATTCGACTCAGAACCAGATTAAGGTAAAGTTGTATTTGCAAACCACGAAATCCACAAATTCTTGATAATTTTCGCTTGGTTTAAGCAAAATTTAACATAAAACAAATTTATAACTGATTTATGTCGAATTATGTTGTTTTGTTTTTATCTGACTGATTGTCAAAAATAAAGAGCATGACGCATTCTAGTACGGAAGTTTTAGTAAACAAAAATAAATTTATTAAAATTAAAAAATATGAGTGATCCAAGACGAAAAGTCATGAAAGAAGCAGTATGCCTGCTTGTAGCAGAGGCTGGGTTTTCAAGTGCAACTGATGAAAGTCTGGAAACACTCACAGAAATGCTGATTGGATGTAAAATAAACAAAATAATTTTTGATCTTTAAATTTCAATTATTTCATTTTACTAGTGATGACAGAAATGGCTACACAGACAAGAAACTATGCTGAATTAGCAGGAAGGACACAATCAGTCGTTGGCGATGTTGTTATGGGATTAATAAGCATGGGACTCAGTTATAAAGATTTAGATGTAATTTAATGACATGTTTATTTTTTTGATGTTGATAATAACTTGATTCTGTTCCTTAGAAATACGCTTTTAGAGAGAATAGACCCACAGCAAGAGGATTAAACACAAATCAACCGCAAAAACCACTTCAGATCCTTCAAGCTGGAACTAAACCATCATATCCAGTTCATATTCCAAATCATTTACCGCCTTTGCCTGATCCACATGCCTACATTCGAACACCGACTTATAAACAGCCTGAAACAGAATATGAAGCAATTAGAGAGAAATCTGCGAATCAAAAAAGAGATATTGAGAAGGCACTGACCAAGTTTTTGGCTAAAACAGCTAAAGGTACGCGATTTTTCATTAATTAATGGATTAAGCTAAATTTATGAATTATTTTCTTTCAGAAACTCACAATCTATTCGATAATGAGGAAGTCCAAATGTTTCCATTAATAGCCAGCAAGCCAACATCAGTTCCTGCTTACATTACAGCACTAAACCCATCAGATCAAATATTTGATTTCGAAGAACTGGAATATTATTATCAAGTAGCAAACAGAAAGCCAGACAATGACGAAATGGAATCAGAAATAGAAGAGAAAAGAGAAGATGAAGAATCACAGTCACCACCCAAAAAGCGTAAAAATAAGAAATCCAATGATTTTAAAAAAGAACCAGACTCAGTAGCTACAACAAGACCTCCAACACCTGTAGAAATTAAGCCTCCACCTCCTCCACCCGAGCCACAAGAAAAAGTCATCGATAATCCATTCTTAAAATTGAAAAAGCCAACAACCTAGATGTTATTACTATAAAAATTTTATTCATCCATTGCTTACAGTCCTAAATAAATATTTTTCAATTTAAAAAATAAATTAAAAAGGTTTGTCAAAAAATATTTGTGGAAGTAAAACGACAAAATTGCTTGGTGCATTTAAAAATCATAGAACAAAATAGATAAGATTACTAAATTTCATTGTTATTGAGGTAATTGCATGTATTTTGGACAATAGTCGGGTCGAATGCTTTACAAAATATTAAAATTGATTCATAATCTAGCTTTTGATTGCTAATTCTTTGTACAAGCTTTCCATTATCGTCGTAAAGTGGTATATTGTCAGGAACTGATGCACATGGGATGACTTTCTTGACTATACAGAAAATGTCACCAAACTTGCCGACTAGCTTGTCGTACGCACTACTTATTTCCATATTATCTTTGGTCTCGTAAATTAATTCATAGAATTTTCCATTTTCTAAATTTTTGATCAATTCTTGTGCCTTTAACATTAATGGATGATTATTGTCGCTTTCGTTACAAATGAGATCCAGTAAGGTGTCATTTAAATGGCAATAACTTGCACAGTCCTGCTGTATGTCTGTTATTGAATAATTCAATAATTTAAAGCCGCCATTGTCTGCTAAGTAGCAAGCATCTCTGAATTGCTTCTCAATTCCAACAACTTTATAAAATTGATAGACATCCATATGATAATTAGCACGATTAATGAACAAATTCTCGATTAAATGAAAATCATCTACATGATACCCGATATGAGATACATTTTCAGCATCAAAGACTATCCTAGCACGATCAAGGAGGTCAACAAAAGGCAAAAGTTGGCGTTGAACACAATTGAAGTCTCTCAAAATATAATCAAACTTGTCGACATCAATATTGCAGTATTTGTTGCTGACAACTTCGGTTAAGAACATTTCTGATGGCTTTAAGAGTCTATTCCATGTCTTGTAGTCTCCAGTTATAAGTGAGCATGTCAATTCAACCATATTGTTGTGAGTTGAAGGATCTGGATGTAAATTTATGTTATTACACTTGATCATGTGGTTGATCATTAGAACTGATTGGTCTTCGTGCGTCCCTATAAAGCATATGAGAAGAGATTATGATTGTACTACTGACTCGTTTAAGATTAAACCTTATTCCAATTGGATTTAAAATTAATCTCAAGATTTAAATAAATCCGATGGTCTTCATTGCTTGAAACCAGACACAACTGACTCCAATGTATTAAAAAAGAAAAAAAGTTAAATACTTACAACTCTTATGATTGCCCTTCCTAACGACACACTCCCACAAATGAGAAAATGGACCATGTCCTAGGTCATGAAGTAAGCCGGCAAGCTATAAAATAGTAAAATTGATGTCACTGACAATTTATTGGAAAGTTAAATTCACTTACCACAACACATTTTTTGTGATTCTCATCAATTTTGATGTCCGAGTTTCTTTCAATTATGTCCAAAATTTTCATACACAAGTAGGCAGTTCCAATAGAATGCTCAAAACGTGAATGGTTTGCAGTCTCAAAATGATAGTAAGATACTCCTACAAAATAAAGAGAAATAGAAAGTGTTGGACGTACAATTTAAGTGTGTAACGGTTAATGCCGTACCTAACTGCTTGATATTGCGCAATCTCTCAAATTCTTTGGTCACAATCACTTCTTGGATATATTTTGGTAGAAATATCTCGCCATGAACACAATCGTTAATTTTAAACATCATCTTCCTGAATAGATTGTATAAAGTATAAATAAACAGTATATTAAGAATGTGCTTAGACAGCTACTTTGTAATAATTTTGAATGACTAATCGAGTGCACTCGAAAATATATTAATTGCAATAACTTCAAAGGCTTTATTCATTTAAAACAAAAAAGGAAGTAAATGAACGTTGCCATAGATATTTCACAATTTTATGTCAAACACTTATTAATGCACAATCTTCTTCTTATCTAAATTGTGAGCAGAACTTACAGAACAAAAATTATTAAAACAATTTTCCTCTAATTTTGACCGGTATTTAAGTAATACTGCAACTAACTTGACTCTGTCGCTGCTCAATTAACAATGTAACACAGTTTTAAGAGCACGACATTATAAAGGAAGGCGTAGAAATAAGAAAATAAAGTTATAACTAAGGAACTTAGAGCTTTTCAAAAGAAAAACGAGTAAAAAGTCACGTTAATCTTGGGATATTGCGCATTTACTATGTCTCATGAAATTTGGATCATTGATGGCTGTTTATTCTGTTTTTCAGAATTTTATAAACTATTTAAAATTCAAAATTTTAACTGCAATATAATATTTGAAATTTTATCACCTTTCAAAAATTTAAATTTGTCATACTTTTGCACCCTTTGAGTTCTTCAAAAAAAAAGTATAACGGTTTTTCAAATTACGATAATTTTTTACTGTGAATTTGCATACATAAAAGCTTGATCATGCAGCAAAGACATAGTAAAATTAAGAGACTCATTCTTAAAAATTAAAGCTGTTGGTTTTACAGAGGTTGCGCAATTATTAGATTCACCGCCTCAGTTTCAGCACAGAAGTTTGTAAAAATAGTGAAATAATTGTCAGAAAATCAAATTTATCCTTAAATTAACTAGAAACAGCTGTTAAAACAATCCACTGATAATGCCAACTATTGGAATTAAAAGAGATCAATTGTTCGGTGCACTTGGCAAAACATACAGTATGTATTTTAAGAGATATTTGAGAAAAAAAAAAGCAATTAATAAAATTGTACACGTGAAATATTTTTTTTAAGCCGATGACGAGTTTCAGGATCTCTGTTTTGAATTTGGACTGGAACTGGATGAAGTTGTAAGTTATTCAATAATTTCCTTACTGTATCACTTAATAATAACATTTTACCTTATAGACAACAGAGAAGCAGATGCTGACGAAAGAGCAAGGAGATGTTGCTGATACTCAAAATGCGTCTGAAGATATTATTTATCGCATAGACATCCCAGCTAATCGATATGATTTGTTATGTCTGGAAGGTCTAGTTAATGGATTATTAGTGTTCCAACGTAAACGCACAAGTCCTGTATACGAAAAAGTAATTCCTGAGAATATTGAGAAAATGTTTGTTACTAAAACGACATCACAAATCAGACCGTTTGTTGTCGGTGCTATTTTAAGAGACGTTAAGCTCGATAAAGATCGTTATGCTAGTTTCATTGACTTGCAGGACAAACTTCATCAAAATATTTGCAGGAAAAGAACTGTAGTTGCTATTGGAACTCACGATTTGGACACAATTAAAGGACCATTCACGTATGATGCAAAGGCACCAAAAGACATCCGCTTTATTCCACTCAATCAAACGAAAGAAATGGATGCAGAGGAACTAATGAATTTCTACTCAACTCATGCACAACTGAAATCGTTTTTGCCAATAATTCGCGATTCTCCCGTCTATCCAGTCATTTACGATGTCAATAATGTGGTTTTGTCACTTCCACCGATCATCAATGGTGATCATTCCAAAATATCTGTTGACACTAAAAATATTTTCATTGAATGTACAGCTACAGACTTGACAAAAGCTAAAATTGTCCTAGACATAATTGTCACATTATTCTCTCAATACTGCTCTGAGCCATTTAAAATTGAAGGCGTAGAAGTACATAATGCAGACGACACTATTGTTGTATATCCAGAACTTGCTGTTCGAACTGAAAATGTCTTTGTGGATAAAATGAACAAATATATTGGAATTGAATCGACTGCAGAAGAAGTTGCAGACATGTTGAGTAAAATGTTGCTTAAAGCATCAGTCGTTAATGACAATGAAGTTGCTGTCCAAATTCCACCAACTAGACATGACGTAATTCATGCGACAGACATTATTGAGGATGTCGCTATTGCTTATGGATACAATAAAATTGTAAATACAATTCCAAATATCAATACAGTCGGTGGAATGTATCCATTAAATAAATTAACGGAATTGCTTAGAGTTGAAATGGCACAATCTGGATTTACGGAAGGCTTAACATTCACATTATGCTCAAAGGATGATGTTGCGAAGAAAATGAACAAAACTATCGAAAAGATTCCAGCCGTTCACATTGCTAATCCAAAAACTGCTGAATTTCAAATAGCCAGAACAACTTTACTGCCTGGATTGCTTAAAACTTTGTCAGCTAATAAGAAAATGCCTTTGCCACTTAAACTCTTTGAGATTTCAGACGTAATATTGAAGGATGATGAATCGGAAGTTGGAGCTAGAAATGAGAGACGACTTTGTGCTGTAAATTACAATAAGCATGCTGGATTTGAAGTTGTTCATGGCATTTTAGATAGAGTGATGCAAGTTTTGGAAGTTCCATGGGATAAAACTAATGGATATTCACTAAAGTCCATTGATGGTAATTGTTTCTTAATTCCTTTACATTCCATACCTAATATTTGTTTTTTTTTCTAGATCCATCATATTTCCCTGGTAGATGTGCATCGGTTTTATACAAAGGAGCGTCTATTGGAAAATTGGGAATATTACATCCAACAGTACTTGATGCTTTTGAGCTGGTAAATCCTGTGTCTGTTGTTGAATTGACGGTTGAACCATTTGTCTAAAATATATGCTTTGAATTATAATTTAATTAAGTTCTTGAATAAAAAATATTGCTTACAGCATCACAATTTTTGTCTTTTTGCTTTACTTAAATATATTTTACACGCTTTTTTTGATTCGTATTTCCAATGGATATAACGGTATGTGAGAATTCAAAATATATGTAATTTATCATAGTTTGACATCCTTCGACAGCAAAACGTGACTTTATCAAAAAAAAAAATATTCATTAATTAAAGACCACCAGTTGCTCAGCAAGGCTAATATTATCTTTTTTCGGGTCCATTAAACACTAAGGTAACCATTTCACATAAATATAAACAGTCAATCTCAATAATTCTTGATTTTTTCAACATCCAGTGAAATGGATCCTTTGCAGATCTTACATGAAGAACTACGAGACGAGATATTTTTACGCTTAACAGCATCGGATATCAAACAAGCATCACTGGTGTCAAAAGATTGGTACAACATAATTGGAAAGTCAAAGTTATGTATGGAAAAGCTGTGCCTAGCAAAATACGAAAGTTTTGACGGTTTTGAGAGTATTTTGGAAAGCAATCGACAGTATCAGTACCTTACTTTAATGACTCCATATTCAGAACTGAAGAAGAATACAAAATACTTGCGTGTATTACGCAGTATTGTTGAAAAATTCTCAGATTCGCTGCTATGCCTTATAATATCACAAGACTTAAAGTTAAAAATTTATCTTCCGAAGCTTAAAGAATTAAAATTTATGATTTGGGAATTTGAATCAAATCCAATTAATCTTATCGTATCAAATGGATTAATTACAAAAGCCAAGCATTTGAAGAAACTGCATATTAGATATCAAAAGTTGGAAACTAAATCATTAAAGTACATGAAGGATGCTTTAGAGAATAACGAAAGCTTGAAAATATTGAAAATTTTTGACGTCAACATAATCAAGGAACTGAAAACAAAAGACTTAAAATTAAAACTCGATGAGTTTTATCTTTATCATTTTTATGTTGAAAATAAAAAAGCCATTCAAGACTTCTTGGGTACGCAAGCTTCATCACTTCAAGTTGCTGAATGTCCATTTAATAAGGAATTTATCACATATTTTATGTCAAGCTTACCAAAACTTCATACTCTAGTTTTCATATACGATGTGAATACATTTCGCTATCAAATGAAATTTGAAGAGCCAGAATATCCATCGAATGAGAGAATAACAAAATTAATCTTTAAAACGAGCTTATACTTGGATGATAACAATTTTTTACACACCTCCGCAATTATTACTAAGCTTCTGAATCTACAAGAAATTGAAATGGACTATTTGAATCCACCAATGCTGCCTCTTTTTAACAACAGTCCATCGCTCAAAGTCGTTAAATACTGTTACTTATGGTTTTTCAGTACTCAAGCTCAAAAAGATGAAATGGCGCAGCATGAAAGGATCAAATTTATTAAAATTACTAAATTATGATTTATATGATCAGAAAAAAAAGCTTTAAAAGAACTCAAAACATTAAAAATTATGTTAAAATATCTAAAAGTTTGTCTACTTTTCTTTCATTTTAGACTAATTTCAGAAGATTAATTGCAGCATAAAGGTTCGATAATTTTAAAAATTTATAACGGCAAATAAAAATTTAAAATCATGCTTCGATCGTAGTTCAGCACCCCTCGTCTGAATAATAACGTGATTATATCGAGAAAAATTAATTATTTTAATAAAAATTGACTATCTGTTAAGAATACAAAGTAATACTCAACTTAATCCTATCAATTTAGCTCTAAGGTAAAGCTAGGTTAGCTCTAAAACAATAGTGTAAAAGAATCAAACACTTTAACGAACTTATTTAACTTCCAGTAAAATGCAAAGATTTGAAGAATGTCCAGAAGAAGTTCGTGACAAAATATTCTCATACCTAACAATACAGGACTTCAAAAATGCATCTTTAGTGTCTAAGCATTGGTATAATTTAATTGGACAGTCAAAATTGTGTATGAGGAAACTACGGATTAATAAATGTGATTGTTTTGAAGATTTTGAGAGTATTTTGAACAGCAATCGTCAATATCAGCACTTGACTCTTATGATTGAACAATCGGAACTGAAAAAAAATACTAAATACCTGCGCGTTTTACGTGATATTGTTGAGAAATTCTCAGAGTCGCTACTATATCTTAAAATATCACAGGACCTAAAATTGAAGGATGATCTTCTAAAGCTAAAGGAGCTTCAAATTGTGTTGAATAATGAAATTCGACTTCCTGTAAACTTTATCGTATCAAATGGATTAATTACAAAAGCTATAAATTTAAAGAAATTATTAATTAAGTTTCACAACTTTGACGCAAAATCACTTCAGTACATTAGAGACGCTATTTTAATGCATGAAAGCCTAAAAATATTAGAGATGGAAACCCATCACATTATCCAAGAACTTAATCAAAATGACATTAAATTAAAGCTTTATGAAATTCACTTAAATTATGGAGGAAAGCCATTAAAAGCTTTTGAGCAGTTCTTCGATACACAGATTTCATCACTACAAGTCATTGATATTCCATTAGAGAAAAATTTCATTAATTATTTTATATCAAAGTTCCCAAAACTTCATACTCTTATCATTATATTTGCTTTATATTCAGCTTATGAGAAGCAAATGGAACAAGAAAATTTCGAATATACCAAAAATTGGTCGATAAAAAAGCTCATAATTAAAGGATATTTCACTAAGGAGAATCACATGTTCTTTCATGCATGCGAAATCATCAAAAAGTTCTTAAATCTTCAAGAAATCGAATTCGAATACCTTAATCCAGGAATGTTGCCTCACTTGAACGACTGTCAATCACTTAAAATTGTCAAATATAAGCACTTGAATTTTAAATTTCCACAATCACAAAACGATGTTATGACACAGCATGAAAGATTAAAATTTGTACAAATTGAGCACTAAAGTTTCACAAAATAAATATTAATGATAAAGTTGATTTGACCAATTCTTAAATAATATTAGCTTTCTTCTAGATTATAAAATAACAGGTTTAATTCAACAAAATGTATATCCTTTAAAGTAAAATTTCTATCGGTTTATAAAAATTTAAAAAGCACACTTTGGTAGTAGAATGTTGAATACCCTTCAACAGAAAATGTGATTTTATCATAAAAATTCATTAATTAAGAAAAACCAGTTGAACAGCAAGAATATTAAGCTACAATTTACTTTATTTGATCAATTAAACACTAAGGTAAGTATCTGAAATGAAAGCAAACAGTAAATCAAGGGATTTAACACTTTTTTCAACATCCAGTAAAATGGATCCTTTGCAGATTTTACATGAAGAACTACGCGAGGAAATATTGTCATATCTAGTTGTTCGTGATATCAAACAAGCATCACTAGTGTCAAAAGATTGGTACAACATAATTGGAAAGTCAAAGTTGTGTATGGAAAAGCTGTGCATTAAAAAATATGGTGGTTTTGAAACATACGAAAGTATTTTGAATAGCAATAGACAATATCAGAAATTGACTCTTTTAAGTAACCAATCGGAATTGAAGAAGAATACAAAATTCCTGCGCGTATTACGTTATATTGTTGAGAAGTTTTCAGAGTCGTTGCAATTTCTCAGAATATCACAGGATCTGAAATTGAAAGTGAACCTTACAAAGCTAAAAGAACTGCAATTTGATCTAGAACGTCATTATTATGGTTATTTTGTAAACTTAATAACATCAAACGGAATAATTACAAAAGCCAAACATTTGAAGAAACTGAGTATTAAATATGAAAATTTGGATGATAAATCTTTAAAGTACATTAAAGATGCTTTAAAGAAGAACGAAAGCTTGAAAGTATTAGAGATAAAAGACATCAATATTATAAGAGAACTGAATCAAGATGACATGAAATTTAAGCTCGATGAAATTCACTTAAATCGCTTTCCAATTAAACATAAGTCAACAATTCAGCAATTTTTAAGCACACAGATGTCATCACTTCAAGTCATTCAAAGTCCGTTTGATAAGCAGCATTTCATATATTCCATAACGAAATTTCCAAAACTTCATACTCTTATTTTAATACCGAGTTGGTATGAATACAATGATTATAATAGAAATGAAGAACCTCTGAGTGATGGATCCTTTATATATCCTCACAATGGACAAATTACAAAATTAATCTTCCATGCTGATTTGTACTTTGACAAGACTCAAACTTTATTTTTATCCACAATTATATCAAAGCTACCGAATCTTAAAGAAATTCAAAAATGCTATCTGACCCCAAACTTTCTACCTCTTTTATCCAACTGTCCATCACTTAAAGTCGTTAAATATAAACACTTAAGTTATGACTTTACACAAACTCAACGAAATCAAATAGCACAGCATGAAAGAATCAATTTCATTCAAACAGAGTTCTAGTATTTTGAATTATATACAGAAGATGAATGTATTAAAATGTACTGCATAGGAGTATTTTGCTTAAAATTTTTTTAACGATTAATAAAGATTCAAAATTTATGTCTACTGTAGTTTAACTCCCCTTTAAAAAAATGTGTTATTCAGTAAGAACATTAAGCTATAATTAACTTTATTCAACAAATTCAATATTAAAGTAACAGCCTGACATAAATTTAAACATTAAATCATGTCCAATATTCCAAAACTCCTACCCATAGAACCTACATGAAATTCAAGACGGTATTATAGATCCAAATGCTCCCACATTTATACAATTGTCTGTCACTAAAAGTCGTTAAATACATTAGCACAAGTAAAGACTTGACTCGAATGCAAAAGAATCAAGTTTGTTTGCGGTATGCAACAAAAAATCGATGTCCTGATAATTTTTATTAAGGATCCAGCAATATATCAAAAAAAAAGTCGTTCATTTATCCAGCATTAGTTTTATTATTCTTGTTACATCAATTACATTCAATCAGTTCCTTTCTATTAAGTCGAGATCACCAAAAAAATGTCTCAAGTAATGTTAAATAAAGCAAAAATATATATATAAAAATAAAAATGATACATAAATGTCTTGTAATTAGCAAATTGTGTGCTTAACAGGATAAAGAAGCTCTGGTGGCAATAAAATCTTCGATAGATGATAAGCCCAACGTTTAGCCCTGTAAAATAATTAATTTTTGATTAATAAATTGCATTCCTAGTTAATCAGATTGCGTCTTACTTTGCCAGCGAGCAGAATTTTGAAGCTGCTAAGTCCTTATGATATTCACACCCTATATCATAAAATTCCCATGGATTTTGATTCATTAAAACGTCAAAAGGATCATTAGCATAGTCCTTCTTGTACAAAGCTTCATAAGATCTTAGCAATAAATTTTCCAGTGGAACTACGTAAACTTCAGTGTCCATAATCTTGTCAAATGTGTATCGAGCAGCTGCAATGTCGTCCTTTTCATTCAGTGTAAATATGAATGGCTTTTCATTGTCCAAAAACTTGCTTATTTGAATCTTAGCTTCATTAAATGAAACGCCAAAATTAGTATTAAATGGTAATTGATGAGTGTCTTCAGAACGTTCGCGAGCGGATTTCTCATTTCCAATTGGTAGTGGACTCGAATTAATATGGATATACATCGTATCCATTAGACCTTCATCGAATGAATATTTAACTAAGCCAATCTCGATTGGATAAAAGTCGTTCTTATCTTTAACTTGATAATTAACGTGACCAATGAGGAAGACATGTGAGTTCCAGTCAAATAGATCAAATGTATCCTCGAGAAAGTACTTAACTTTACGTGCTGCTTCTGTGCGCTTCTGATTTTGCTTTGCTTGTATTGCCTTAAAACTTTCTATAATTTTATCGACTTTACGATCTACAGTGTCATGTCCAATGACTTCAGAATCATATCGGTAGTTCTCACGTTGTTCCTTTGGAAGGATGTTCCAACTAGAATTGGCAAGTCCTCGAACTTTCTCAAAAGTCGTTTTTTCATCAAAATTGTTCTTTCCATAGAATTCAACCAAATAAAGGTGAAATCCTGTTAAATTTCAATAGATTTCATTAGTTATGGATGTGATTGATGTTTCCTATAGCTTACCTGATGTTTTTCCTTTCAAATTATTCATTATTTAATGAATTTCCTTAATTATTTCATGGAGTGAAAAATCAACGAAAAAAATTAATGAAAAATAAATGATGTCTCATTGAAGCTTTCTTTTTTAAAAAAACAAATGCCGTTATTTCTTCAGACATAATTTATATACGGACCCCCCTTTAGTTTTCAAATCTGAAAAAGCTGTTTGAATTCTGAATCTTTGAATTTTGAAGAAACAAAATCTTGATTCATTTCGAGATTTGTAAGTATAAATAAAGTAGAGGAAGGATCATAGATTAAGAAAAGACTCAAGAAATGACTCTTGAACGTAGTTATTTTCCAAAAAATTCAAAATAATTCGTTCAGTTATCCAGACTCTATTTTCGTTAAGTTCATTTTGGAATCTCAAAAAAACCGTTAAAATTTGAATTCTTGAAAACCGTTGGAAGAAATTTTTTAAATTCAATTACAGTCAGCAGTAAAGCAAGTGCATAACATGAATAACATTTTAGTGAACCAAATAAGAACAGATTTTTTTTTTCCGATGAGCTTAAAAATATGATTATTTTATTAGGTTTAAAGACATGCATTATGCATTCTATCGGATACAAATAATTAAATTACTAATAAACGAGTATATCAATGTTTGTAAAAATATGAATAACAAAACGAAAATGAAATAACTTAATTAAATTAAGTACTAATAGTAAATTAAGTGAGAATTTTGCGCTATCACACATATAATAGTTTTTTTTTTCTTTTTTTTGCATCTTCTGGCATAAAAATCATATTAATTAATTAATTAATCACACAGTGATCACACGTTGACTCGTTACATTTTAATGTTCTGATTACCATTGTTGGCGTTGCTTCCACTTGCGCTGACGTTATCGAATGTAAACATTGTTTTGAAGGACATGAATGGTGAAACTACATGAACATTAAATGCCTTCAACTGCAAAAATAAAGAATTAGAACTGAATTTTCGAAAAGAACTAAGATTACGTACCGAATCAGTTGTGCTGCTTGCGCTACTTCCTGTATTAGTTCCACGATTAGCATCAAACAATCCACTGTCGCTCTTCCAAATTGGATCGAACCAGATTGTTGCAGGTTTTGATAATTTTGGACTTTCAGGAGCGTCAAAGCGGATGTAAGGCGATAGCATCGAGTATTTTTGTTGCATGCTGGAATCATTGCCTGAAAAATTAGATGAATTTGAAGAATATCCAGTTGAATTATTCCAAAAGTCACGCTTCATTGACTGTTGTTGTTGCTGTTGGAACTTTAAATTCCGCTCATAATATCCTTGCGGTTCCTCATAATTAGGTTGTACGAAATTTCCCAGCATTTCAGTTGGCATTGTGACGTCATTAGAGTATGAATGGACATGAATATTGCTATTACTTTGATTATTAAAGTTGCGACAATATGGATTTAATTGGATATGTTGCTGTGACCTGCTGTCATTAGCCTTACAAGCAGCTCCTTTTTGATTACGATTAAAGCCAATTGGAAGTGGTTTTTGAACATGACGAAAGATTTCTGGCTTCTCATCCGGAATTTGAATTATATTCATGCTGAGTAATTTTTGCAATCCATTTTGAGTTAATGGACAATCAGATACTAATTCGATATCGCTGCGATCATGAAGATTTAAACCCACTTTCGAGAACTTAAAGATGTCCGAAAATGCTTGAAATAATGATGATAAATTAGGAAATCCGAAATTAAAGCATGTTGTCAAGTTGAGCTTCATCATTGACTTGATTTCCTGAATATTCATTCTCTTATGCTGCTCGACAACATTCACAACGTGCATTATAAACTTCATCATTGGCGTAATCGAGATCATTTTAATTCCATTAACCATTTCAATTTGAACGGCATGTTTCATTGCATGCAATTGCTTTTCTGGAATCGAGAATTTAAATTTATCTCCAAAAACAGCATGGAACTTAGATAATGGAATTGTTGAACCAATATCAATGATTGCTAAGCATACAAGCATTGCGCGTTGCCTAAATTTCTCATTCTCCAAATGTGAGACAAGCCAAACTTCATTTTCGTAGCTGTGAAGTTCAATAAATGGAACGAATTTTAATGCATCAATGACAGATTCATAACCCAATGATGATCCTTGCATTTGATATCCAAATTTACTCTTGTGCATTTCCATTAACTCATCAAACTTAACCATTGTTCCTGACAAGCCTGCCATTGTCTTGATTATTTCTTGTATCTGTTCTGAAAAGATTCGCAATGCAACTTTACGTGATAAAAATATCTTTCGATTCTCTTCATTAGTCAAGTCCATTTCAACGACACCGGACAGTGCTTCCAACAATTCAGCTAGACGCATAAATCCATAATCACTCAATTTGCATTGATATCCGAAATAATAATGATAGGAACGGACAAATTTGCGGAATGGAATTGAAAATTGTGGAGCATTACGAAGAAGTTCAACGACTTCACTAGCAAAAATGCTAGTCTTTTCCATTTCGACATTTGTTTGACGACGTTTTTGGAGACTCAAAATGTATTCATTAGTTTCATCGCGAATCTTTGAGACCAGAATAAAGTTACTGTTACGTAGACCATTCAATAAATCCTCAATATCACAAACACCATAATCAGTGACATCAAAAACACGATTATAAGTTGCTAAATACAATTGTGGCAAGTTTGATGAGAATATTGACTTTGATGGCTGATTACGAATGATTTTAAAGACATCTGTTGAGAATCGACGAATTTGGACACGATGAGTTAATGTAATTTGTCGTGATTCACCTTCTCCCAAGACCTAATATAAAAATAACGGTAAAAAAAAGTATTTAAAATGATTTCAAATTTAAATTTACAGTTGAATTACCTGAACAACGGAGGACATAGCTTCAAACATCTCAATCAATTTTGTACATCCATAATCAGCAACACGACATTGCTTTCCAAAATGATTATGGTATGTAGGAATGAATTTTGAAAACTGCATTGTTGATTTTGGACACATTCGAATCAGTTCAATGACTTCCTTGGATATAGTATCAGCAGAATCGCCGCACGACGAATTAAGATTAGTTTTTGTGAAATGCTTAGACGAGAATGATGAGTCGTCAAAAGAATTATCATCACGAGAAGCCAAAATCTTAATTCCATAATCATTATTGCGGATTTTAACATTTGGTACGCAAGAAACAAGATGTTCTAAAGAAACACCGCGATCATTTGACTGTACTTGAACATTAAGCTCTGCTTCAAGACAAAATAATAAGCTAGCAACTGGAATGTCTCCTTGATGAACTTGCAATAATGGTTGAATCATTGACTGGACCTGGTCAACAGTCATAAAGACATTTGGTAATGGCTCAATTTCAATTTCAGCCCATCCTTTATTCTTATCAGCCTTATAATGGAAAATGCAATAAGGTGCACTGTGCTGATCAGTCTTCAATACCATATCAACTTCCTCACATTTTGTAGCAGCATTTGATTCAAGAGAAATTATTTTTTCATCGTGACTGTTTACAGCAATTGTACAGACATCAGGCATGCGATAAAGGTCCAAAATACTGATTGATGACTTGAAACGAGACTGAAAAAGTTCTCGGAATTTAGACATTGGTAGTTGATGAGACGGAACATCCATTAATAATCCAATGACTTTGTTACGTAAGGCTGAGCACTCTGCTGATGTTTTGTCTTTCAAAAACGATACAAAAATTCGTTTATGGCCCATTTTCTTACGATGCAAATGAGATACAACTTGTTTTGCAAACTGTTACGGAAGAAATTGAGAAAAAAATATTTGTTGATCTATGCACGAATCAAGATATATTATTTATTGGAACTAACCTGAATGGATGGAACTTTGACTTTAGCAATGGACGGTGTTTCAATTGTTAAAGATAGAATTGGAGTTATTGGCTTCAATTGATTCACGAGATAGTTTTTCAGGCTATTTTCATCGTAGTACTGATCCAAATTACTGATTTGCAAGAAAACTCCATCGTCATCGTCAACAGACGAATCATTACAAAATGCTGGCAGTTCCTGGTGTGAGAAGCTGCTATTAAAGCTCTTATTGCTTTCAGCACTATTGTTGCTGTACTTTTTTTGAGATCCTTTAATCGATGATGAATCAAAAAGTGATGAAAATGATCTGTCGCATGTTACAGTGTGCAAATCACTGGATGAATTAAGATGACTTGAAAAGCTAGAAGAGCTTTGTGCTCTTGCCGATCGCATAGTTGAATTATGGAAACTTGACTGTAAATTGATACTTAAATTAGAACAAAAGATCCAGAAAAGAGATGAAAAAATTTCTTACCGAAAGATCATTAAAGTTGTCAGTGAAATTCATGGAATTTCTTGGAATGGACGGACGATTATAATTAGAACTGAAGTTATTATTAAAGCATCGTCTAGAGTTCGGTCTATTATTCGCAAAATACTGATTATTCATAACTTCCTTTGTTAGAATTTTTGGCGCATGCAGTGACAATTTTTTCAATCACAACTTTTTCCTATTTTTACACGTTAATTCTCAAATTCTTTATGTTTAATGGCAAGAATATTAATAATTTAATAAATTTAAAACAAGCTAATTAAATTATTTGTCGTTTTTGGTACAAAAAACCTTAAAATTAGATACAGAATAGTTTACCCTTCTTCAGCGCCAACAAAAAAGTGTGTGTTCGTATTAGTGATTTTGCACATGGGTTAGTCAATCGACTGATTTAAAGAATTTTACATCCAGTTTGACTTTAAATAACTCGATATTTGGTCAACGATTGCAGAATAACAACAAATCCTCTCATATTCAATTTCATGCAAAATGGTACTTCTAATAAGGAGATAGTTTAACAGTATTTTAAAACTTGAAAAATACTATAGAAGTGAAGTTGGATCTGTTTTCACTCATTTGAATTATCTGAAACCGTTATTCTATCTTTTTATGTGTAGCACCGTTTTGCTCAAAACTGAATCTAAATGGATTTTATGTTATTCTACAATCATTCGCTAAGTATCATGTCATTAAAATAAAAAAATAGCTGATTAGCTAGCACATAGATTGGATTGAAAGGGTATACTTTCATGTGATACTTCAAACGGTTTTCAAAATTTCAAATTTTTTTTCTACAGTTTCTTTTAAAAAATATTTTCAAATATTTTTAAAAACCGCTTTTTAAATGTCCTTAATAGTTGCTTTAATAAACTCGCTAATTGATGATCCTGAGTTGTAGACAGTTATGAAATTATTAACACCCGTCTTCATTGAATAAATTTTTCAAGAAAAAAAGATGTTAAACCTGATAAAGCACAATAAAACCTAATTTCGTGGTGTCATTGCACAAATTTTAGTAATTAGCCAAAGAATATTAAAATATTTGCAGCAATAAAGATATAATTTGTGATATGAATGACATTTGAAATTTGAAAATTTTAAATTTTCAGAGTACTTTTTTTCTACAACTTTAGTGTGCTTTTCAGCTATTTATCTCAAAGTTGGTTCACTTTGTAATTAGCTAAGAAAAGTTACAAAAGAACATTTAAAAGCAAAAACGTGCAAATAATTTATATAAAAAAAATCTAGTCTAAATGTTGATAATTTTGTGTGAAAAAAAGAATTGTTAAAATGCACAGGAAAATAAATAATTCATTTTAATAACCAGTGAAAAAATGTAAATTTACACGATTCTCCTTTTCAAAATTAGTCATTCTTAAAATGAAATGTAGGAAATAGAGCAATTTGTATTTGATCGAATTGAGTGTCGTTCACAAATAACGTTTTTGATTGGAAGAATGAGAGGGTGAAGGGTTATAAATTTGAAATAAAGTTTGAACAAGAATGGAATGGGTTCTACGATTTCGAAGAGCATTTTAAGGTTTCATCGGTTATCTCCTATTTAAATTATAAATTAAATTGATGTGGATGAAGATGGAAGTATTTTGGAACAAAAACTCTAATTTATTCATCATTTATTAAAGCTATTTGATTTTAATGACTTGAGTAATAACTTAAAAATCAAAAACCATTTTGAGAACATTCATCAAACTGTAAGACTCAAATTAATTGGAAATTTTCTTATTTACTCACCTAATAATAAATTCATTCAAGTGGATTCAAGTCAATTAACTAGAATATTTATTTAAGTCATTTTATATTAACTTTTAATGCAAATTTTTATCTCGTCTCAGGTTTTGAGAATTCTAAGATTATGAAACTGGATCTACAGTACACAAATGTGAGAGTCTGATCAGTTGTAATGCAGAAATAAATTAACTTATGTCATCTAATGGATCAACACTCGGAATGAAGGATCAACCTACAAACAGTGCTCAATTAAATATCTTAAAAAGGTAAGAACCTGGATTTTTAGTTCATTTGCATGCCAATACAGGAGTCTGCTTGAAGTCTTATCACAAGTTTATGACATCTAGAAATAAATCATTTGAAGATTAATCTTTAAAAAACGTGGTAAAAAGAAACATTTAATAACAAGATGTTTTTTAAACTAGAATCCCTTAGTAACACAAAGCCCTATAAAAAAACAACATTCGAGCGATGAAGACAGAACCAATGTAATGAAAAATTACCGATCACACATTGACCCTTACCACACATTAATCTCCATCATTGTGAAGTGCTATGTTTGCATAAACATTATAAATATTCTTAAGCTAAAATCTGGCAAACAGCACAAATAAGTTCTTTCACAAAGATCTTGGGTGATAATTATTGATTAAATCTATTGTTTGCTTGACTTTTGTCTATGATCGGTTAATGAACAACATAACGAGACTCTTGTAATGTCAATAATTAAGTTTCCGGGATAATTGTTTAATAATCGATTATAGTTCGTGATATAAACATCCACGTGTTGGCGATAGATGTAACTAGGAGAGTAATATTGTCTCAGAGTTGTAATGCTCTACTTTAAAGATGGAACTTGGGTTGATAAAGGATTGAAACAATATCTGCAAGATATTCTAGTTCCAATCAGAAAAGTTAATCTTAAAACTTACTATTTGAGTTGAAAGTCAATCTAATGCTTGACAATTCAATCAGACGTAGCGCCAACAAGAAATTTGACACAAAATGCTAAAATTCCTCCTCTGAATATCTCAAATTAAATATTATGTTATATTTACAATAAGTAAAATAATTATATTGATCATTTTCTTTAATTCTAATTCTAATTCTTAAAACCTGTTCCGTAAATATTGCAACTGTGAGCTTCACATTTTTGTTGTTTTCTAATGAGTCACCTTTCCTGCTCATTTGCTTTAAAAATTGTATGGAAAATTACTTGCAATTCGCTATTCGTCTGATACATTTATCTGATCTCAAACGTACTCGTGATGGAGGTTAACTGGGGGGAAAACAGATAAACTAGAATAAATTAGAAAGCCATTTAAGACATAAGATTAGAATCAACATAAGAGAACATAAGTTTTTATGCGTTATGATAATGGTCAAACAGGCACGATTATAAACTGTCCAAATGATATTGATTTTTGAATATTGTTTAAATTATCAAGAAGAATGGTATAGAACTGCGTGAAAAAGCTCACAAAAAACATTATTGATACGAAACATAACGCCGAACGTGCTTAACAATAGTATTTAAAATGTGGCAGCTGTACAATTTTTTCTATTTTTTTAGAACTTTTTCAAACGAATTTGAATAAAAGATTGATACTCTTCTTAAGATCTGCTATTGAGTTTGACAATAAAAATCCTATTACAAGAAAAACCAAACATTTTTCAGAGTCCACTTCTGTCATAATCATTTCATGTAAAAATAGATTTTTCCTTTTTTAAGTTGATTAAACAATGCAAAATCGTCGTTTGAAGTTTATTAGTCATTCCAAAATAGTAGCTCTAAGTCGATCGTACCTGGTGATAGTCTTTTAAGACTTTTCTTCATCGTCTGCTTTTCGAGATATCAAAGTGGATGCCAAGTGTTAAAGCATTTCAATCATTTTTAATATTTGCTAATCAGGCCTCATTCTACAGAAATTATGAATATCATTAACACCTGCGTTATCTTCTTAAATTACGATTGCGAAATTATTTTTGCGTGTTTTTTTTGCGTCGTAAAAGAATCGAATGATTTTATTTTGATTATTCGTGTATTTTTTTTAAAAATATTCTAAATAATGATTTCTACAAACTTCTACTAGAAAAATGTTTAAGAAAGATTAAAATCTGTAAACCCAGGCAGAATTTTAGCTTTAAAAAGATAAATCTTAATTAATCAAGACCTTAAAATTATCAAAGTCCACAAAAAAAAACATTACAGATGAATATGTAGCTTTATGTATACTCAACAATTAATCAAATTACATGTCAATAGAAAAAAAATTAAGCCTAAAGCGACCGTGACCTTTATTAACCATTTAGTAATCAGGAAATAAAATTTACTTTCCGATTAATTCCTTGTCCTTTGGATTTCTTGAAGTTTCTATGATGTTTTTGACTCAATTTCCTTAAAAATCAGCATAACTTAATAAATTTTTAACTTCCCCTTAGTCTTCTAGTTCCTTTTTAAATCCTGGTTCAACACCACAAAATGATTTTTAACTTGTATTTGTACAGCTTCTGAATATCCAACGAGAATAAAATACATATTGACATTTTTCATCACGTTGAAACATTGTTATAACAAATTTGATGTGCGTTAATTACGAAATCTAGTTTGATAACTTTGTCATATCTTTTAAAGGAAAAGTCATAAATTCCATTCAATTATTGCAATCGACATCTATTGATTGCCTGTTTGGGTTAGCTGTAGACTTGTAAGAACTTGTAAACTTTTGAAACGATTGAAAACTTTTATTTTTGTAAAGTGCAACATATAAATCTGATAATTTCCTTTAAAAATTCCAACTCAGGTTTCAACAGCTGTAGAATCTATTCAAAAACTTAAAATTTACGTTTCATTACTTTTATACAGCGTGATAATATACATTAAAGTTGTAAAACGATATTTTTAAACCAAAAAAGTCTAATAAAAAAATATCATGCACGTGTATCGTCTTCTGAATGAAAAAGAAAATGCGTTAAAAGCTTAAGCATATAAACAGTCGACATTTGAATAATTCTTCAATTGGTACTATAAACCTGTTATCGAATCTTTACTTGATTCTTAAGCTCCTATCAAAGAATTTGCTGCTAGAATTTTTTGCAGACATTCATCCTCCAAGTCATCATACTCACCATGTTTGTCTTTCAATCTTTTTTTCATAGTGTGGTCTTTTGTTTGCTTGCCATTTTCGTTGCCAAAGCACTTTGTATAATTGGTTTTTCAGACACGAAACTATTGCGTCATTAAGTTTCTTTTTTTCTCTTCAATTAGGTCTTAGTTCTGACGTATTTGTTATTTTTTTTCGGCAAGAGAACATGCCAATATTAACATTTCTTGAGCAAATTAGTAACTCAAAAGTAAATAAAAAGAATTTTTAAAAAAATAAATAAAAAGAATAAAAAGTTGTCAAGGAATAAAAACTTCAAAAAAGTGAATCAAGCATGATACGACAAAATTTTGTATTGCTTGTTGTTCAAAACAAATTTAATGGAACGAATTTTTAATTGCCTGCATTTAAATATCTTAATTCATAATAATTCATTTTGAATCATCAGAATCCAAATATTGAGACATCTTCGAAGAGGAACTGGTCCTTGAATATTGAAACGTTGACTTCAACTGCATAATTAGCATGTTCATGATAAGTCTTAATTTAAAAATTAAACAAATCTCAGCTTAAAAATTTTGCAATTAAATAATAAAACTGTCAATAATAGAACAGGAAATTCCAGAGGACTGTTTTACGCTATGACATTCTTTGTGAATAGAACTATTTATTAATCAAGGATAAGATTTAATTTTTTTGTACTTTAAACAATAACAATAATTAAATTGAAATGTTTAATTAAGATCAATTTATTAAATTGTTGTTCTGATTTTTATTAAATTAGGGTTAAGTGTTAGTCATTTCACTTTCTAAAGCAATGATTCTCAGTTTTTGTTAATTTTATGATTTCCATAAAAGCTTTCCAGTTTGAGAGTTTCTTTACAATTTTCTTAGTTTTAAATTCTTTCGGATACTTTTCAGATATTATAACTTAAATTTAAATCGAAAAATTTCAAATTTAACTTTAAATCTTAAACTTAATCGGAATGCGACAAAATTCATTCATGTTTATATTGTTAGCAGCTTTAAACTCTTTACGAATGAAAGACACAAAAAACTTTATAAAACGCATTTGTTCACAGTTTCAAACAAAAAGTATGCATTGGTTGAGTTGGATGGCTTGAGCAGTGTTAAAGCAATTGAATCTGATTATGCTTAACTGATATTGAGTTTTAGAATTTGGTTATTTGGGTTTTAAATTAAAAAATTCTTATTCCATAATTTCTTACATTCGATTGCATTACTTTTGAAGATCCGAATTTCGTCCAACAAATTTTAATTATAAGATCTAGATCATTGACCTGTGATTAACTTTAAGCATCTACAGATATACAAATTATAAGAATATAGTAAAAGCAAATGAACATTAATATTACTTAAGTTAAGCTCCCTTGGATTTTTCATCAATTAACTCATCCACTCATACATCCCTCAAATAAAAACTTCTAAATGACCATTAAAATTTTTTCAGTATTCAATCAAAAAAGAAAAAAAAAGTATTCAAACACTTGTTTTCCGCACATGTATGCTCAAGCTTATATCTCACAACTTACTTACTTTTAATTTTGCTTTCATTCGAGTGAGAAAAAAAATATTCAGCAGAGAAACAGCAAAAAATATAAAACCAGATTCATTGAGTCTCGACTGAATTCATTCATCGTTTGTAGTCGAAGCTGATCGGTCATTTAAAGTAAATGTGCTCTTTTTTGAACATAGACATAAATTTTTTTCCCTCCTTATTTTGATAACGCAATAGTGTCGCGCATCGGCATATGAGAGAAAATTAATAAATTTATTGAATGAGACGAGAAAAAAAAATATATAATTCATTAACGCGACCTGGAGATCAGTTGCAATCGGGCATTCAAATCTTTTGAATCGCGGAAATACAACTAGTGAATGTGATACTTGACAATTATTTGAATTTAATGTGAAATAGAAGCTTTAAATATTCTTAAACTAATTTTTAATAAATTATAACAATTAAATATCTAAATCAGCACGAAATTAAACGAAATTTAATTAATAAGTATTTATGCAATTTAAGTGTTTTGAAATTTCGCAGTGCAGTTTAGAAAAAAAAATAACATAAACTTGTTAAAGTTAATCGTGTGCAATATTAAAGAAAATAAAAAAAAAGTCAGACATATGAATTGCATCGATTGCGGTGCACTAATTATTATGTGAATGAAATTTCTTTCTTGGCTGTTTTAAAAAGAAGGAAATTGGTGTAAAATTACATGTTAATAGCCAAAAAACTGATTACTTTACATTGTACAAAACTAAGGCTGGAAATTTAAATTACATGCAATTTTTTATTTTGCACAATTTATCAATTTCTTAACAAACTATTAAAATTCACACAAGACTTGCTGGAATAAATTAATCATGAAAGAGATTATAAATTTCTTCGCTGGTCGCCGTTACTCGGCGGTAAATACTTGCGAAATGCAAGTTATGGACAGCACAATAGGAAAAAATCATAAAAGTTTAAATCAAAATCGACCGTCGTTGAATCGAGGATTATCTGTGCTGGATGCTCTGTTCCATGATAGGAAAAAAGGAAAGCAGACGAGGAGTCCAACTTGTAAGTTATAAGAAGTGGAAAATTTTGTGAAAAGTGATTTTTTTGTGTGATTAGATTATTGGCAATTTGATTGAAGGAACAACTTGAGATTAGGATTTTCATGGGAATTAAAAATACGTAGAACGGAATTTCGAACAGATAAAACTTTGATTAAATCGTACTGAAATCCAAATCCAACAATCAAAACAATTAAATCCTACAAAAATGAACTAGTGAACCGGCAAAAAATCTAACAAAGCATTTAACTTTATCAAGGAGAAGCTTTACATTCATTAAGTCGAGAAATTTGTCGCATTGTTAATAAAAGCTACTAAGCTTACAAACTAGCATGCAAAATCAGAGAAAACAGCTGTAATGAAATAAAAAATTCAGGAAAATTGTGAAAAAAATTGCTTGAAATGCTTTAAATATTTCATTTTGTGGTGCGAAAAATTTCACGTATTTAATTTTTTTTCACTAGTCAAGTACAAGCCGCAATTAAAAGAAACTTCTAGACTCGGTTTGAGTAATTTTTAACCAATTGCATCGACTATATACGCGCACATATATTTATTTCAAACATCTCTATTAGCTGTCTAGTCTAAAGTAATTTGCAGATAGAAATACGATAGATTTACCTTGAAATATCTGCAGTAATTTCTAGAAACAATTTTTTAAGCCAAGTACGACTGATATTTTTTTAATGTCAGCATATATGCTGTTCTGCACTAGAAAAGTCTATCAAAAACGTTTTGCTACAAGTTATGGCAACTTTAAAATTCCAAACATTTTCATCTAATATGTAAGTGAGTTGAAATGAGCTGAAACATCTCAACAAAAACAAAGATGTAATGAAATAAACTTGATTGGTCATTTACATGTCGATTAAAGTATTGAAAAATTGCTAGTTAAGCGGGTTGTTTACAAATGATGATCAATAAGGTTTTCCTCCAAGTTTAAAACTTGAAGCTAAAATTAAACTTAAAATCAATTTGTTTGGATTTAATGATCTTTGCTGGATGTGAAACGGGAGTCAATTTTAAACAGTCATCATTAATGAACGACTCCAAATGTGTAAATTAAAGCGTGTGTGGCTGTTTAAATAATAAAAAATAACTTTAAGTAGCTGCATTTCTTTACTTACAAAATCGTCTCAATTGTTGCGCGGCTTTACAAGTGTAAAAATTGTTTAGAAATAGAAACTAAAAGTTGTAAATCTCCATCAGCTTTTGAATATTAATATTCATTTTTATAAGCTATTATTGAAGCATTTATAAGCAGTCAAAGTGTGCTGCATTTGTATTATTTGTTAAAGAATAAATTATGGAATATTTAATGAGGAAAATACATTAAAATCTATTAAGAATTTTTGCTTTATAATGCTATACTATTCTATAATCAAGTCTAGATGCAAATATTAAAAGTTAAAACTGAATATGTAAAATATCCAACAATACGTCAATATATGCCACTAAACACGTATGTGACGCATATAATGACCCGAAAATCAACTAAGAAAACAAAAATCCATAATGACTAACGATGGCATTACCAAAAAAAAAAACTGTAAATAGGAAATTCACACTCTTCCTTTTCCTTTTTAACATGAAAACAAAAAAGAAATTGAACTTGAGACAGGCAGCTTGCTTTAAAATTTAGTGAATTGAAGGAGAATTTAAATTTCATTAGCTACTGACATATGTAGCGGATACATACTAATAATAAACATATTTTAAATAGCTACACTTATTTCAATTGACAAGCAATTAGAGATTGTTTTTGACCAATGCATTTAATGTGTTATGGGAAGTAAAAAGTAAATTATTAAGCTTATTTAATTATTTTTGTGTGCGTGCATTTGAAGGCATCAAAATGCCATTTTACTTTTATGATTTTAAACTGTACATTTTAAGATTGTCGATTGAGAAATTTTGTTGATGTAATAAAGTTGAAGGCTTGAAAGTTGTTGTAATAAGATATATACTTGAAGATGGCTGTTTAATTGAATATGCAGAAGGCGTGAAGAGTTCAAAGTTCAATAGTGCGTTTTGAGTTAATCAACTTTGCGGCTTATTGAATTTTTAAAGTTTATGAAAGTTAAATCTAGACTTCTGAGCAGTGTTGCAAATGTAGATGTCTTCACTAGATGAAGAATGTAGATTCTTCAATAGTTTTTGTCTAGCTAAGAAACTTTCTTCATAAAGATCGATTCTACATGTAGAAAGAAAAAAACCATCTACATGTAGATTGTGTCTACATGTAGAATCTGTCTACATGTAGATTCGATGGAGATGTCTATAATTCTACATTTTTTCCAGGTCTACATCAGAGAAGAATGTAGAATCATAGACATCTACATTAAATCTACATGTAGACAGATTCTACATGTAGACACAATCTACATGTAGATGGTTTTTTTCTTTCTACATGTAGAATCGATTTTATGAAGAAATTTCTGTCTCAGAATTTATCTGATCCAGACAAATAGCCAGAATGCAACACTGCTTCTGAGTGCAGACTTGAATTCTATTGTAACAACGAAAAGAGCAATTTTTGGTTCTTTTCAAATCAACTTAGATTCAATAGATCGTAAGATCAAAGCTGATCAAAGTCTTCTAAATAAACAATCTCAATTACTTCTCAACTAAATAGTAAAAGAAACAAAAGTACCGGATACCGATTCTTTTAGTATTTAAACTATTCATAGATCTCAATTTTCAATATTGAATATCTGACACCAAAATATTGACATAATAATAAAATCAATTGCGATTCTCACCATCAGATTATCACTAAGAGTGTCTGTCACGTACAACTTATATGTCCATTTTTGTAAGAAAACATTACGTACTCATTAATGATTTGGCTAGAAAATCCGTTTACTTAAGTCCAAAAGATTAATATTTATTGAGTCTCGGAAATGCTTTACTTTTTAAAGTAAATGTAAATTTACAATCATTCTCAGAGCTATTCTGTATTTTATTGAGATAATGAATAATTAAAACTGATTATTGATAATTATTCAGAACTTTTCTAGTGATTCAAACTGAGAGAACATATGATTAGTGTCAATTTATTGCTAGGTTCTCAGGAAACATGGGTTTATCCCAAAGATTCAACCGGATCAAGCTTATTCTTGTCATCAATTTTCCTTGAATGCTATTAATCAGATAAGAAATATTTCCCGGGATTAACAATGCATACGAGATCCCTATTCTATAGAACATCTTAAACTACTGTAAAATAATATCACAATTAATTTGTCACGGCATCATGTTTCGATAAGATTACAACGCTTCTACATCCACGCGACAATTTATATTAAAGCTCCTAAAAGCGCTCATTAAGAAGCTCTGTTATGTAATCGAGTGATATTCCTCTCCTTAATGGAAATCAATTTCCAACAACTTCTATAATTGATCAATTAAGACTCGATTTTTTGGTCATTTTATTTTGACGTCTTCAATTTTTTGGGATGGGTTGAAAACAGTAGTTCTGGAACTATCTTGAAAGGAATCATTTTTGGGGAAATTAAAGAAATTTTACTGTGACAAGGGAAGGCTACTTCAAACAGTCAAGATTACTGTTTAGGATAAAATTAAGATTACTGATAGACATCACTATCAAATGCCCCCATATAGTAACATTTATTATTTTCTCATTTGCAGTCATATTCTTCTTACTTACCACCGGTCTTTTACTGATATGCTCAGGCATTTTTGTATTATTATTTCATCCATATGACCTTATATTTAAATGGGTAAGTGATCCTTTATGATTTATACGACACACAATTGAAATTAACATGTTTCTTTTCTTTCATTTATTTCTTTACATGGTCTTATTCTCATATTATGCAACTCGAATGTGATTTTACTTTCTGTGATGATTGCATCGAAACTTGTGCAGAAACTTTTATTGGCTGAGGATGGTGAAATTTTTCAATTATGGGAAAGACCACCAGTAGATTTATTCCTCAAAGTATATCTGTTTAATATTACAAATCACGAAGACTTTATGAGTGGTCGAGCGAAGAAGCTTAATGTTGAAGAAATTGGCCCTTACGTATATCAGTAAGTAATGAATTTATGATGTGTACGAATATGGTAATGAATTATAATCATTAATAACAGGGAGTTAATGACCCATGAAAATGTAACATTCAACAGTAACGGAACATTGTCAACGATACCAAATCATCCGCTATTGTGGAGAGGAGATTTATCTGAAGGACGACAGGAAGACGATATTTTCTATTTACCCAATATTGCATTGTTAGTAAGTAACGTAGGCTTTTACACCGGAAATAAATCCCTCGATTGTTCTAAATGCTCCTTATTCATGAGCTTATACAAGGCTATGCAGAATATGGAAAAAACCATGAGTCTGTTTTAATGAATATTCACTTGATGTTAGCCTTGCAATTCTGATTTAATTCCGTTAAAAAAGTAATAATTTTATTTTCACTCTCATTTTTTATTATTATTTTTTTCTTTATACTCATTTCCATAATTGTTGTGATGCGATGTAGTAACGCCTTAAGATTAACGTACATCTTTGTTCATTTAATGCTTTATTTACCTTGAACTATTCAATGTCGGCGAAATTTCGCACATGCTTGTATAAACGAATAAAAACATTTTTTTCGTGACTAGATTAACGCATGTTTGTAGATTCATTTAAGCGTAACTTTTATAGTCCTCAGTGATAATGAATGAACAAATGTTGTGGGTATTTTAACGAAACCAAGGTCAACTGTCGAACAAAGTTGACAAACCATTTTTTTACTCACTGCTTAAACCATTTCTTTCTCTCACTATTTCTTTCTACGTCTGTCAATGTGAATAAGCGTTTACATAAAGTCTCTCAGCTTGGCCATTTACGCGTCTGTCGATGTTGTTCGATATTTTAATTTTACCTTTTCGCTAGACTATTTTCGCACCTTCTTTTGATGATTTTTGTCTTGCAAATTATGTGCATTACTAATTTAACTTTGTTTGGATTGTTGCAATGCTGTTACGTTGTCTTCGAGACGGCTACTTAGTATCTTTCGTTAAATATGCACAATCTTGAGTCAATTCAACCTCATTTCAACTCACTGCAGTTGATGGATTTATGAACAAATGTTTATTCAGTTAAGGGTTCATGTCAGTTCAGTTTGATGATTGTTGGGACAAAAAGTTCAATTCGGTTCAGTTTATTTTTGACATTTTGATTAAAACAAGATTAAAAAATCTTAAATCTTTTTTTCATTCATTTCAGTTCAATTCAGTTCAGTTCAATTCAGTCCAATTCAGTTAAGTTCAATTTAATTGAGTTCATATCAATTTCAGTTTAGAGTTCAGTTTAGAGTTTATTTTGAATCAGTTAAATAATTCTTTGGATAAAAAAATCGGGTTGTTTTTGAATTTGAGCTATAAAATCATTCATTTCAATTAAGTCTATTTCAAAAGCTAATCGCCGATTTAAAATGCATACAAAACTTCAGTTCGTTTCAGTTCAGTTGAGCTACTTCTTTCAAAATAAAAAGAAAAACATTCTCGAAAAAGCAAAAACATTATTACGAAAAAAAAGCCGGCAAAAAGCGCTTCGACTGTACGCGTGCAAATACCTCTTACCATTTATTTTTTTGTTCGTGAAAGATACATAACATAACGAAATAAATAATCAAGTTCGAGAGATAATATTGTATTGGGTATACATATATATATTTTTATTTATCTTTGAAATGCGAGATTTAGGTTATATTAATGCAATTTTTTACTATTGCGTCACATCCCCATGATTCGATGAAAAAGAAAAAAAAATATATAAAAATGAGAAGTTGAGTTGTGCATGAGAAAATAATAAAAATGTACTTAACAAATTTTATGGTGATCATGAGCAGCATAAATATTTCTTTTTACCATATGTATGTTTCCTCGACACTGCTTTACTTCTCACAGCATCATTAAATGCAACAGCTTAAAATTCAATGAATGAATCGTTAAATTACGTTTATTAGGCAAATACTATCTGAGGCTTAATTATTACAAAATAGTAGATAAAGTGCGAAGAATTTAATGTCTATAATTTTTCACGTATACGTTCCCTTTTGATTTATAGTCATTGACTCATGAAGCTTTTTATTGTCTAAAGGCTCATCTCACACATTGTATTGAGTCATTTCCATAGTAATTTAGTCATGATACTGTGCACATTTACATAAAGATTAATTGCTTATTTTGCTTAAAAATGCAGTTTATAATTATTTACTGTAACTTCTAGTAACAACAAAAAATATTTATTTTGGAACTTCACAAGAATTGAAGCAACTCTAGTCATCAAAATAATTTGCATTGTAGCTTAAATTAGTTATTGTTTGTGTACCTTGGGAGGGTATTCTTAAATGACGTCAATTAATAATATAGTTTTAAACCTCTTTCACTTTTATCACACAACTTTTTATCTTAAGCTCTAAGTCTTGTTCTTTTATACAATTCAAGATTTATGGCATAGTCAGGTTGTGCTTTACAGATAGCTAGAATATATAGAACCTGCATAGGTGGAATTGGTCTCGTTTTGAGAAATATTCTATCACTTAAACTTTCCCTCCTTAAAAAGAGCAATCAAAAGTATTGAAGATCTTTTTCTCCACCCTTCAGTAATGAATGCAAAACAGATCGTTGCACTTTCTTCCATTATTGCACATGTGAATAAAAACCTGGACCTAGACAATAAACTTTCGATATATATGAGAATAAAACAACACGCAACATGGAAGGGCAAACAAGATAAAATTATCAATGTTGAAAAACGGTATCTAACGTAAAAAAATGTAAATTTGACTGTATTTTTGTCTCTTCCTACCACATTTTTATTATGTCATTCACCGATAACTTCTTGCCTCTTGCTAACAAATGAAAGAAATTTCCATAAAATGAGAAGAAGAAAAATAAATTTAAATAATACAACCTTGAAAGATGAAGATGTCGAAGATATTAAAAGATTATTTTTAGCGAAGGTATTTACAATTTTATTGTGCAACAAGCTTGAATAAATTTAATTCTAAACAGTTGGTGACGCAATTTTAGATTTAAGTTCTATATAGAATATAGAGTTATTAATTAAGGGATTTTCTAGACTTATTCTAGAATTTTCATCAATAATTAATGTTAATTATAAACTTAATCAATTGATTAGAGTTATTTGAACAGCAATGTGACTAGTCGCACGTTTGATTAATTAATAAAAATGTGTAGATGCGTCTGACAATAAAAACTCAACATAAAGCAATTCAAATTGATATTTTAAGGGCATCAGGTTGATAACCGAGACATTAAATAGCAAAAGCTTTCGATGTTTGTATACAAATGTCATTTGAAGGCCAATGAACAACCAAATGCAGTCAATATTTCATCTTGACGAGGCATAATGCATTCGAGATTGATTGACTTGCTTATTTGTTAATTTAGAAACTTGTTTTAAGCTAAACTGCAATTTAACCAAACTTCATCTAATAGATGTACGCGTATTAACTGGCAATCAAATCATGTGCAGTCAGTAGCACTCAAGTAGATTTCTGTTTACTTAAAAAAACTGGAACTGATTCGCAATTTCTCAGATTTTTTTTCTCTCTCTTTCCAATTTGATTGTTTACATTATTGCGACATAGTATTTAGTATAATAAAGTCGCGTATGCATGTTTCCAGTCATACTGCATAATTTTCCATAATTCCACTAGACTGACTTTAGATTTGCCTGTCATATTGAAGAAGTATGCAGTTATTGCACAGCTTTTACAACTTGTATCTGATGTAATTTTTTTTCTGTTTCGTTTCACTGGGTCAGGTGAATGGAAGTTCATGAAAATTATACTTACTTACTTCGCTGGCCGTACAGATCAATTGTGATCCATGGCCTCCCTTAGATGGCGCCTGAAGCTGACTCTGTCGCTGGCTTCCGTTTGCCAATTAACCATACCAAATGCAATACTGTCTCTGTCAACAGCTTCTTTCCAAGAGTTCTTGGGTCGCCCGCGTGTTCTTTTGCCATCTACAAAAACATTCTTAAAGACTTTATTAATGGGAGCTTCAACAGGTCTCCTAACGACATGTCCAGCCCAACGGAGTCTGTTGACTTTGATTCGTCGTACGATATCAGCTTCATTGAAAAGCTGATATAATTCTGCGTTACTCCTGCTTTTGTAAAAGTCACCTTCTCTCTTCGGTCCAAATATAATTCGCAAGACCCTACGCTCAAATACACCAATTGCGTTCTCATCTGCGATAGTCATATTCCATGACTCAGAACCGTACAACACTACTGGGCGTATTAGTGTCTTGTACATCACTAGTTTGGCATTTCTCGCTATTCTCTTCGATGTTAGTAAATGTCTAATTGCAAAATATGCACGCTGCGCAGCCAAGATCCTTCGCTTAATCTCCACTTGTGTGTCAAAATTGTTGCTAATAATCGACCCTAGGTAGACAAAATCATTTACCACTTCGAATCTTTTATTGCCAATTGACAAATGAGACCCAACAAACTTCCTCGTTCTTTCAGATGCTGCCACCATGAGAAACTTTGTTTTGTCTTCATTCACACGAAGCCCGATCTTGTTAGCTTCTCTTTCCATTTTGGAGTAAGCGTCGGTAACGGATCTGATGTTACGTCCAACAATGTCTACGTCGTCGGCATGAAAATTATAGAAACATTAAAAAACCTGTGAAAACGCATGATTAATAATTTTATTCATTATTTACTTGCTCTTTTTTTATAGGCAATTGCACATGTTGCAGCACCAAAGAATTATTTCTTCAGACTCCCTGTCAATATCTTTGTGAGGAAAGAAAATATTCAGCCGGTCGTTAAGATGACAGCTAAGGAGTTCATGATGGGTTATGAAAGTCCTTTAACGACCCTTGGAAATACTCTCTTGCCTCATTGGATTCATTTTGATAAAGTCGGACTCATTGATCGTGTAAGTTGTTTATTTTATTGTTGATGCTGTGGTTTGTGGTATTATGGATGTGATTAGTTGTTTACCGGCTTCAAATTCTTCTTCTTGACATTAGAGTTGGTGTTTTCAGCAAATTGTTTATCCCACAACCCACTTTGCTTGAAAGTCCTTGCCTTAAGTGTCCCAACCTTTATATTAAGCTACCTTCATTAGTTTCTATACCCAAATCATATTCCTTAGCACTGAGTCTGACAATTTCTTTATAATATTTACAGATGTACGACTTTAACGGAGATTTTGCAACATATTATACGGGAGAGAATGACATTCGAATGTCGGGACTTTACGATACATTTCATGGCTCACCGGATTTACCACAATGGAAAGGAGAGCATTGTAGTAATATTCAAGGCGCAAGTGATGGAACAAAGTTCATGAGCTTTATGCAGGAAAACGATACACTGCTATTCTTCCGAAAAAGCATGTGCCGTCCACAAAGACTTGTTAGTATTAATTGAACCTATCATGACTTTATTCAATGAATTTGACCTTTTATTTATTTTTTTTATTCATGATTTTCTTCTTCTTTTTCTCTCTTTGCATTCATCAATGGCACTCTTGTTAATTAAAATAAAATTGAATGAATATTTAGAAGCGACTAGGCAAAGTCGATCCTGTTCAAGGTCTAGAGGCTGTTAAATTCACATTTGAGGATAATGCGCTCGACAATGGTGTCCATAATGATTTAAATAAGTGCTTTTGTCGTGATCCAAGTGAGTATAATGTTAATATATTGTGGATATAATACAAGATAAAGTTTATTGATGCTAAAAAAATGTGTGTGTGAATAATGGAATTGCGAATTAATTATCCACACAATAATTTCCTTATTCTAAGTAAAGTCATTTTCATTGCGCAATTTGCTTGATTAATGCACGATTTTCACTTAAATATTTAATTGCATTAAAAATATTATAAATATATAGCTAGATAATAAAAATACCGAATATTAACATAAATTGCAACACGCGTCCTTGATCTTGGAAGATATTTTTAGAAATATTTGTTTACGTTTTTTTTTCTCTCGTTTTATAGACAAATGCCTTACGGAAGGTCTCATCGACGTGACAGACTGCTATTATGGTTTCCCAATCGCCCTTAGCTATCCACATTTTCTCGATGCTGATCCAGTTTTGTTAGAAAATGTGACTGGAAGTAAACCGAATCGTTCATTACATGAGAGCTACTTCGTACTCAATCCTGTAAGTCATAAATTTTGAAGCTGTATAATTTTAAAATTGTATTATAAATATTTTCTTAATGGGGAAGCACGACATGATGAGATACACGTGATTTTCAGCTTGCATCTCAAAGGACAACTCACATGTCTTTGATTAATTTACATATTCAATGGAAATATTTCAATTATGGATTATAAATGCTAATAACTGTTTGTTTTGAATTTCCTTACGATAAAAATAATTTTTTGTCGCTTATTATTTATTGGGAACCGCTGTGGGGTAGTGAACTAGTTACGTCTGAAATTCAGAAGACTTAGAAACAAGGTTTGAGTTGGATCTTTAAGTTCAATCATAATTTTTGGAATCAGAAAGTTTAAATTCTCTTAAACCTCAATCCACAGTATTGCTCACCAACCCTGCCACATTTCCATATTCACAAATGAACTTTACAGCTATATCCTGTGCAAACTCATGTGACTTTCATCGTGTTAGGCGTTTAATTAATTAGTCAAGACAAAAAAGCAGTAAAAAACTGATTAGTTCTACTATTCTTCCTGCATTGACTAGTTGACTAATCGACAAAAGAGATTTTTTTATTCCGGAATTGGAAGGAAGCGGTGCTAAAATTTGCATATTATTTGCTGCAACAAAAAAACTCGCTTCCATACCGAATCAATGTCCGCACAAAATCAACAAAGTCTTTCCCAATCACTCTTGAATCAATACGGTTAACATGGCTGAGATTACAAATTACAAGTTTTGAGGCAGTCTCACCTTGATTTTAATCGTAACATACAATACTGTCTGCAATTCAAATAGCTATAGCTTTTTTTAACTCATTTTCCAATAATTAAAGCATGCTTGTTTGTCCGATCATCTGGAAGTTTCGCTGTAATCACTTTGTGCTAAATTACTTCTACGCTACATCGCATTTGACTCGTGACCCTCTTCTTAAAAATGATTAAATAATTATCGTGAATTAAGTTATTTATTTTGTTATTATGTATGACAAAATGGTAAAGTGTTATCAGATTTTGTTGGATTTAATTTAATTAATATCGTGATTAAATCAAAATGCTTCTGTCGCGTGCTGACTAAGTGTCAAATCACTCGAATTGATATTAAATTTCTTCATTTTCATTTTGTGCCTAGTTGCGCTTTTTGGAAGGAATTATCTCTGTCATAAATGGTAACAGCAAGCAAATTTTGTTCATGAGTTTTGGAATCGACTTACTTGGCGACATGCTGTCTCTTGCTTTGAACTATTTGTGAAGTTTATTATTATAAGATTTAAGTGATTCTAGATTCCTCATATTTGCTCATTTTAAGATTTATTGGATCATTACTTTTCTATTTTCATTTCAATGAATAGATAGCATAAATATCAAAATAAGAACTAGAATTTCTTTTTAGGAATCAAATAGAAATTGATTTAAATTGCATAGCTTTTGACTATTTTAGAATTAATTTCTTAGATTAAACGTTAGCAAATGTTCTTTATAAGTTTGATTCTTGAATTCTATGATCTGATGCTGATTCTGATTTTAATCATCAACATCTTATCTGAAAGCTTCAACAAAAAGCTTCATAAGCCAAAAATAATTAAAAACAAGACTTGAATACTTGCATCTAACATCTCATATATTCTCCATTATCTCTGCACATCCACACACAATGAAGATCAACAATTTGGTTTTAAAAAACTCTGCACATACCTCTGAAAGTCACAAGAAATACCGTCGCAAGTGCACAACAAAAACAAACTGTGAATTGGTGTACTTATTTTGCAATTTTCACTTTATTTCTCGTACCGACTTAATTCAGTCGTGATTGAAACTTGTTGATCTTCAAAATACAATTTATGATCGATTTTTTTTTTTCTCAGGCAATTCATATATGTGATCATTAACATTTTCTGCTTCCTCATAGTACAGTAAATAGAAACGTTTGATTTGAGAGTGAGAAAAAAAGTATTTATTAGTCATTGCGAGGTTGGGTAATTGGAGCGCATTATGGATTGAGTTTAGTGGATGTAAATTGAGAAATTCAACGGGTTTTAAAAATTCAAATAAATTTATCGAAATGAAATGTTTGATTTAGAACTCTAAGAAGTAATTCTAGCCATTCTGACTATCAAAGCTGAATGTTTAGATGTAAAAATCAGTAAATACAAATCCCAAATCGAAATTTATTGACCAATTTATTATCAAAACACTGTTAAATACGGTTATTAGATTTTTTCATAGTGACTAGATCTTAATCTCTTTCATACAACCAAGATTATCTACTCACTTAGCACAGAGCTTCAGAGTGATAAAATAAATTAAAGAACCAATTTATTACTTGAAGATTATTATGTAAATCCCGTATAGTTTACACTATTCATTCTTTTTTTATCAAACAGCTGTCTGGTCTTCCTTTGAAACTGTCGGCAAAGTTCCAAATTAACATGGCTATGTCGGATGTACGCAATATGGCTCATGTAGAAAAGTTCTCTCATCTTACGATTCCGATGTTATGGTAAATATCATTCATAAAATAGCTAAAGCTATCATTAATTTCACTTTATTGCTTACACGTTTCTTTAACTTTTATTGTCTATAGGTTTGAAATCAGTATGATGGAATTGCCAAAACGTCTTGAAGATCGTTTCAGCCTATACTTGAATATCTTACCAGTTGTTGAAAAAGTTGGCCTTTATGGATCATTAATACTTGGATTAGCACTCTCAATTATAGCTGTGACACGAGTAGCACTACGCGCATCTAAATTTGTAGCATCGCCTTATCATCAAAAGTATCATCATAATTTAGTCAACAATTCCGTCTATAATGCATGCGAGGAGAAGTTGTCATCAAGAAATCAATCAGTGACGAACGAAAATTCCCAAAGAGCAAAGAATAGCAGTGACGATGTAGATGGGGAAAATGATAATAAAATGTCCGATGACAATGATGATGCTCACTGTTTAAATATTATCAGACGTGATGACCAATATGAATTAGAGAATGACGATGCACTTTCTGATATTGACTATAATGATGACGGGGAGAGCTCCAACGGTTCATTAGATCAGGTAAATAAATTCTTCAAATATCGGACCTTGATCTTATGGCAATAAGAAGAGTGACTGCTGCTGCTAAAAATACTTGCGATTATTATTCATTTTTCGAGAGATTTCGAATGTTTATTCATCCATGAGATGATTTTTTATTTCTTATTTAATTAAATTCTTCTTCTTCTTTTTCTTGTGCTGGATGATGGGCTCAAACCAATTTGTTTTGCGAATTTAAAATAATTTTTTTGCAGACATTGAAATTCGATCAAGTTAAACCTTCATTAATTCTTGTAGAAATTTCGAGTTAAGGGGAATTTCTTGAATCATAAATGTAATTTTAAACATTTTTTTTGCTACCGCCTTTATAATGATCTCTTTCTGAATCAATTGAGTTCCATAAATGATGTTCATTGAAAATTTGGACATTAAGAATTCCATGAATTTAATGATTTTAATCTATAGACTTTCAATTCCTCAACCCATTAAATTGCAAGACATCATTAACGAATGACTCCAACAGTAAGTCATGTGATTTTGATCGAAAGGTTCTTTTATATGATGTTTAATCATCATTTCAGTATGTCAAGATTAAATTGATTATTTGCTCTTATTACTTGGGTTTTTCCCCTGTACTTTCTACTTAACTGTTTAAAAAGTTTTGAATTGTTGATAATTCAGAAAGAGAAATTAGTGAAATCTTTTGAGAACTTAAATTGAGTTGTTCGCATTTGATCAATAAGATTAAAATTCGTACATTGTCCATTGTTTTTTGTAAGAGAATCGTCTTTTCGAATCGTCACTTTTAGGATATCAGATGCAAAATTGAAGAATTATTCAACTGACTTTTGATAGAATTTGTTCATTTTGATCTAATCTGCATTATTGATCAGAATTAAATATCACATCCATTAATTATTGATTTCTGGAATGCATTTTAATTTATTAAATCTGATACAGGTGACATTTGAAATTTAAGATCTGCAGATTAATGATTCTGGATCTTCATTATGTCATTTTACAAACTGCTAATCATGTTTCCAAGTAGAATGAATCAAATTACTTTTTTCTTAAGTATACCTAACCTTAGACATCAAATTGTTAATTGACTGTTTCGTGATTCTAAACTCTGAAATATAAAAACAAAATCTGCGCAAATAAAGACACAAACAATGTGCAAGACTTACCACATACTGAGTTAGAATTTTAGCAAATGGTTGGCAAATGCTTTCAAATGTCAAAATATCTTTGATTTCTCAATTATTATCCTAAGAATATTCCAAAAGTTTCTTTCCAACCTTCTTGTTGATCATGATTTAATCTCGTGATTCGAACTTTGTTAAAACAAAACGAAAATCCTTTCATAATGAATCATGTCCTAAGGCACATTTTAAATCTTAAACAGCAACAGATAGAACAACAAGCGATAATTTTAGCAGTAAACAAGCTAAAATCAACGACAACTCCTTTTTGACGTCAATTAATTAAAAACTTGCAAGAATCTAATTAAAGTCTTTTGATTGTGCCGTTCCTTTATGCTTTAACAATAATAAATAAATCAACCTTCAATTTACAAGATGGAAAATTAAAGTGGATGTACCTTTACCTTAACAAACATTAATTATTATTTTGAATTAAGGTAAATAAATCCAAACATCCGAGTCATTTAACATGTCTGTAGCCAACACACACTTGTGCATTAGAATGAAACTTAATATGACAACCGCTTATTGCCATATTTTTGATTGTGCGTAGTTCATTAATTGTTGACTAATTAATCTCATAATTCACAGACAGAGTCCGATGAACGGAGTGAGCAGTCACAGAAATTTATGGAAATAGATTTAACAGAAGCGGAAAATCATGGAATTAGAGATTCTCTTGTGTCAACTGTAAGACGATTATCAGATGGATATATTGAGATTGCGCAAGCACTTATGGGAAACAAGCGTGATACGCTCTTGAAGATTGTTGAATCCGATGATGATGAGAGTTGAGGGATAAAGAAGAGCGGAAGATTTGTACACTCATCGATGATAAACAGAACAATTATTCAAGTTTATGATGAAAGAAGACTGGCAATGTTTAGCACCACTTTTGTATTATTTTATGCATTATCATCATCACCACGTACTTTTTAAATGTTTTTTTATAAGAAAAAAAATCATGATGATTAATCAACTTATCTCGATTGGTTACCAACAACATTATTTATTTTATGACTTGATCATGGATTGTACTGCATTACCCTAAAGGGAAAGATCGCGTTTGTTTCCTTTAGTCTGAGATTAATCATAAACTTTAAAAATATAAACGTTCGTTTAAATTTTGAAAAATAACTCCCAAAAAATGTTTGAATTTCAAGTAAATTACCAACGTTATTTTTCAAAATCTATCCTTTGTAGGGAAAATGCGCTAATGTCGATCACTAGTTAACCAAACCTATACTAGTTTCTAAGGTTGTCGATTTCTTCTTCCTAGATAAAGTAAATGACTCTCAATGTATTGTATTATCACTTTTATTGACGCACCTCTCATGCTCATAAGTAATTACATAATTTACATGGTAATGTTTAAATGGACACGAGCATTCACGCATAAATTGAAACACATACTTATGTTTAAGTATCATCGATTATCTAAAGCCATTCGCATATCATTCTAGCTTTTAATGTCAAAACTGTGATGTTTTTTAAACTGTGTAGGAAAAAAAAGCTTTTAAAATCATATTTATGCTGGCTACGTATGCATAAATTGTATGTGAGAAAGAATTATCTTTACCAGTGACAATTTTAAATTATAAAGATCCAATAAGAAATTATTTAATTAAATTATTATTTAAGTCATTTTAAAAAACAAAACTTTGATTGCAATTAATTTATTTTAATTTGTGTGTCTAGTTTAGTGCCATTGTCTCAATGATCACTTAGTGTACTTAGGTATATTGAAAAGATACTTAAATGCATGCCAGTAAACAAGATTCAACAAATTTATAAGATTGTAAACTCTGTTCAACAAAACTTATAATAAGCTTTAATTTTATTTTTATAAATCAAATGAATAAATGTATGAATTAAATTCATTATGAACACCTAATTATTAATATTTGTATCTTTTTCAGTGTCATTTTCTTTCAGGATGTCAAGTTTGAATTTAATTTGTATTTGATTTTCAAATTTTAACGCTTTCAAAAATTTAAAAAGCTTTTAACGGCTTACATAAATTGAAATTATCGTTCATCAAAAATTTAATAAGCACAACAGTTCTTATTATTGACACCAGAAACAGCAGACAAAAGATAAATCAAGCGACGATCTTCAATTTCATAATAAGCTCTGAAAGGAAATTATTCTAAAATGCTTAAAACAAACCAAACAATTTATAAACTCTAAAAAAATGCAATTTTAACTTTATTTTGCCTTTATCAGTACGGGATACTATAACATATTGCAGTAACACTTTATGTGTAAATTTTATATAAAGGCAGTGATTCTTTTAAAAATTCAATTTTCAACCTTATCACCAAATTAACGAATGTCTTGGGAATTAATAGATAATAAAATCATAACAAATTGTCGATTGCCTTTTTGTTAATTTCAAGTTGCAAGTCTCATAGCGCATTGTTGGGAGTCTTGATTCGTATATTTTACAAGTTTGGTGCAACGTTGTTCAAAAATCTCATACAAAGCTCAAGTCCGATGAAGCATGCAGCATTTGCTGTTGGAAGTAGAAAAATTCATTACAATTGAACATATTTAAGGCACAAACCTAATTTACCTGGAACTGCTCTTGCCATAACAGGCGCGAATCCTTTGTATAAAGCCATTGGTCCCTCATTCTTCATCAATTGCCTAAACACATCACCCATTCCTGTATACATGCCTTCCGGTGCAGTCTGTAATCTACTCTTAAGTACATCCTGTGGCATGCCAACACTCCAGTTAGCAACACCAGCCATCCCACCAGCAAATATTGTTCCTAAGAATTCTCTCGTTGGAGTCAGCTTTTGTCCTTCTGGAACTGACTCTGCAACCTTCTTCTTAATAAATTCATATGTTAAGAAATACATTCCTGATGCTGGCATGTCTGTGAATTGATAAAAGGATAATTTTTGTTAGTAAAATTAGCATTTGAACGATTGACAAGTTTCTCATGCATGCTCAGTCTCTCAGCAACGATATTTTGATATCAAAAGTCAAATCTGTGAGAACCAGAGAATGAGAGCAACAAATGTACATTTCATAAATGATATCAAGTGACTAAAAGTCATGCAAGTGCTTATAAATATTATGTCAAGTAGCGATAAGTCACTGAGTTCAACCCATACATTATGCTCAACTTCCGTTTCCGAGATTATTCTCAACACATATTGCTGCTCCAAATGCTCAGTTTATCATTAACTTTCAGTGAAATAAGAATTAAATATTTTTAAAGCAGGACAAATGAAGATTTTCTTATGGATAAGCATCATCTTTTTGATGCTTTTGATTGTAAGTTTGTATAACGAATGGAAATTGACAATTAAAGGTCAAAAATTGATGAAGTTTGGATAAGAATTGGAAATAGCCCTCAAAAAACTACCTAATTACGGCTACATCTTCAAGATCTATGCACTTAAGGCACGATTTAATCACAAAAATCCTCAAAAAAGACATCGAAAGACAAAAAACATCAAAATCGTGTAATTTCACTAGAATTCGTTCCAGTTGAAATAGTATAAAGCGTATAGTAAAATGAGGAATTCTGATAAAGGCTTCCTCAAATTATCAGAACAAAATACAACAAAACTCAGTAAATAAGCATTTTAAAAAATTTTGTGATGAGATTCCGAAAAAAATAATCACTGTGCTGGAATTATGATTGCTAGGTTACGAAGTCTGATATCAGGAACTAGGATAAACCTTGACGTCACTCACGTGACGTGTGAGCGGCCAATTAATAATAATTCTAGACATTTGAAGCTTCTCACTAAGATTATAGACATTCATCTAATTTGACAGTATCTTCAAATCAATATAATTGCAGTTCCAGAACCGTCGATAATAACTTCGAGAATAGAATTACAGGCTTCGAATATGCGTATTCACACGCTTACAGTTTGATCATTCAAAAAATTACAAATAGCTTATATAAAAATAAGGAGAAATATACTGTTGTTCTGTTATAGATCAATGATAACGTTTGAGGCTGAGAAAGGGCCATCATTTGCATACTAATGTCTATCAGGTGTTTGTATCTAATTTAGACAGTTCAAGTGTTTGTTTCGTTTCGCATTTGTTACTTTATTTAAGGTTTAAGCTGACTAAATATTGAGCTTAACTTTAAAGCAAATGAAATCGAATTTAACCAATCAATTTTAATGGTTCAGTAGATTCTATAGCACGACATGGTGGTCTTCACTGATTCACCTTGACGAGTTTCTTTCGACTTTCAGCTTATTCTCGATCAATCCTAAACTAATTTGCAAAAAAAAAATAATTAAACCGGAATCGTCAAAAACCAATTTTCACAGCCAGTGCAAAACAAATTAATTTACGAAATTCCCCGAACTACCAAATTGCCCTTCACATTTTTTTGTGGTTCCGCAAAAAAAAAACTTATGGATGATTTGGGTTTGACCCAACAGAAAAGATATTGAGCTTTCCAATAAGCATGTAATTAGGGATCATGACGAAATTTCAGTTCTATCTCGTGTTAATACGATCATGTGAAATCAAGTCACATGTAAATATTTTTGTGTGACAAAACCAATTTCTATGAAAAAAGACAATTCTAATATAACACCTTGGGGATGTTCATAAATGAAGTCAATCAAAAATTGAGATTTTTATCCTCCTACCCCTCAAAATATTAGACATCATTTAAGAACGGTTCTTGAAAGCAAATCTCGAATCATTACTCGAATGATCATTTTCTTGCAACGTCCATCAATTAGGTTGCAATTAGGGTCGGAAAGGTTTAAATCAAAAGTATTGTCAGAAACTTCACACCAAGAACTCATTATCAGAATGTCCAAAAGCACAAATTCCAAACCAGACGTCATTCATGAACGATTCTCAATCCATTAATGTCCAGTTTTACACATAAAAACAAATAAATATTCAAATTAGAAACAAAACAGTCTCCAAAAAAAACACGTGTAAATTGTGATTCTGAAGATGAGAAGTTGGTTCTGCTTACAATTTGATATATTATTGTTAAATATGCAAAAAAAGTTCCTTAAATACAGAGCATTAATATTAATGACTGCTATTATTTGCTAATGAACTACTTCCAAGCATATATTCTTTAACACCTAGCAAGTTAGAATTACTTTTTACGACAGTTCGAATCGAAAAAGACAGCAAGTTCAATATAGCAGCAAAAATGAATTAATATTTACAACAACTACTCGAGATCGGTAGAGCTTATTGCTATTCTAGTTTACATTACACAGCACTTTTTATCGAATCAATTATCGGCAATGAATGGAGAAGAAATGTTAGCACTGACCTATGATTCAATTTATTGAGTGTGATACCCAGTTTGCGTCATAAATTAATAAGAAAAAGCTTCTATTGCCTTTGTTTTGTCTGTTTATTTCTTGACATCTGTTTTGAATTGTTTGCTAATTGATTTTGATTTATTAATGACTTGTTGTTTTGCAGAATTGTTAAGTTGGGAGTGGATTCTAATGTAAATATAAACCTAGTCTAATGAGAACATCGAGAAGATTCGATTGATAAATTCTAATTTTTAAACACCTGCTAGGTGTCAAAATATGTTATTATTGGTAAAATAAATTAAATTTTGCTATTTTTAGATACTTTTTGGTGTGAAAATAACAATTCTTAAGTTAAAATCAGTTCATAAACCCCAGTAACCAAAATCTAGTGTACAGCGAATCTATAGTAAGTCGTAAATCTCCCAAACTTAAGCTACAAACTAGCTTTTACGGTTAGCCGTAGTGTTTCTGTATCAGACCCTATCAGACAGTCTATAGCAGATAGTTTATGGACTGTCTTAAAGCTTTCTTTGAACTATCTACATTTAGATATTTCTCAATTACATTGCTTTACATTAGCTGAATAAAGCACGTTATTAGCTAGATACATGAAGCAAATGTTTAACTAGTTTGTAAAATTTTAATTTGTTTTAATTTTCTTTTGTAAAATTTTATAATAGTATTAGTGTAATTAATTAATTAAAGTACACTAACACTTACGAAAAATCTCTAGTAAACATAGAGTCTCGAACACTTGCACGTGAAACAATTATACATATTTACTTAAAAGTTTCATACAAATTTGATGAGACCTTATATAAGTGATTTCTGCAAGCGCTTGTGAAGTATATTGACAAAAATATTTCCATATATTTACTTTCTTAACACAGTTAAGCTATTGGTAGATAGCTAGCGACTGTCTGAAAAAAGTGAGTAAATTTTCACTGTCTGAAAATTGACTTGATAAAGTTAATGTTCAACTAGTTGAAAAGAGTCAGCTAATATTTCGATAGAAGATGTCTCTTTTATAATAGCTGAGTACAGAAAGTTTACGGAATTTTTGAATTACAGAACGTTCTGCGTTTGGTTATTGGGGAAATATCATTAATAAAGTTTTTCCATGCATTTTAATCCCTAATATTAAAAAGTGATTTAAAATTGATTGCAAAATATTTTCTTTGAAATAAGACTAAAATCTAATAAGATTTAGCATTGTATTAAATTAAAAACACAAGGTTTAAGCTTCCATTTCACAACAAATAAACAATTTTAAATTCAAATAAGGCAATTTTACTTCAAATTTATTAACTAATGTTCAATATTGAACTGCAAAATACCTTTATTTATTGATAAAATTAATAAAATAATAAAATCAATGCTGATGACAATTGACCATAAATAATAATTAAGCTATTTGAAAATTATTTACGTTCAAATGTCTAAATCAATATTACAAATAAATGCAAGCAGTTCCATAAACTTCAATATTTTTGGTGTGAATAAAAATAGTAAATAAATCATATATCACTAAGCAATTGGTTCTAAGAATTGCAAGATTATTTGATTACTATTAGTGCTATCTACGTAAGCATTCTGACTCAATTCATATTTCCTGATAGTTAAAGCTTGATGTTTTTCATTTGAATTGACATTTATTAATGCAATTCTGTTCCGTTTAATGATATTGAATCTAATGTATTTTAAGATAACAATATAACACACCAGGCGCGGAGCCAGATGGGATTTGGGGGTACTTATCCCCATTTGTCAACAGTAACTTCTTCATTTTGATAGTGCTGTTTTGAAAAAATCAGTATATCTAAATGCAGTATATAATTAGAAATTTTGATTTTGTTGATGCGTTGACATCCAAATGATATGATTAATTTGTTCCTATATAGACAGATTGGTTTTGCAATCAAAGGACGATTTATTTCTGTAGCTGCACAATTGCAAGAACTAGGGTATATCAATGCAAAGTACCTAGCCAATATTTGCGCATGGCAAATCACACAAACCGTGTTACCATGACTAGATCAGCAAAAAACCACCCAAAGTCTCGATAGGATCAAATCAGGGTCTTTAGTGTTGGTTGATCAAGACTCTAACAGCTACGTCTATGCCACTTTTATATAATAAATATCCATCATTTAAATCCCAGACGTCCAACTCGCATGATTAGTATTAAAATCTCATTTATATCCTTAAATATGCACGAAATGATACCCAAACCAATCATTATCTTAACGACAAAAGAAAAATTATATCTAATTGACAAAAGGGTTATTCCAACAATATTGCTTGCGATTGTAAATTACCGGTAAATGAATTAATTTATATTTTCCGTACAGAAATGATTATCTCGATAAATTTGTTTTCGTATCGATTACGAACTTAAAAGATTTCTTCACATTCTTATTAATGATAATTAGACATGCAAGTGAATTTAGTACGAAAAAAACGAGAAGAAAAAGCACTAATAATAATGAATTATCTTCAAATTCAATCATACGACGTAAATACTTTATTTTGCCGTACCAAATTAATGCAAAAAAGCAGTGAATAATGGGAGGTGAAATTACGGAGTATGAATTATTGTTACTGTATAATCAATTAAGGGCTACTCCGCCCTATAATAACTCAATCTTATAATCATACTTTTTGCATTAAATTATTGCATAAATATTCAAATGAAAAGAACTTAATTAAGAATTTTGTTATTTACAGCAATTGATACGCGGAGATAAATGGGAAGATGTCAATATGATATGTCCTCATCATTGCGTATGCCAATTTGCTCATCGTATGGATCTTCCGATCGCTAAATGGATTCATTCTGTTGAGACTCGACAGAGAAAGGGACATGAGTTTACGGATTTTGAAGCAGAGCATCATGAACATAATAATGAGGTAGGTCAAGAGCCTTTTTAGGTCTAATCTTTACATCAACATCTCTGACAAGATGAAGCTTAGCAATCTTGACTTTAGTAAGGTTAACTTAAAAGTCAATGATTAATAATTATCATCAGATTCCATGTCATCTGGTCTCTAAAGCACCTGCTAATAATTAAGATACTAGCTTACACCTTGTAGGAAGTGTAGGAAGTGACATTAACAGATCAGATTTCAATTTATAGGTCAACTTTGATGATGAAATATCACCTCAAAATAATGAATTACTAAAATTCACAATGTGCTTACTGCCATCAAATATTGAGCCAAAGGATTTGATTGCTTCATTACCTCATGACGTTGAGGCATTAGTTGTTTTATCGACAGAGAATAGGAAGAATATGTCAGGTAATTAATGCAAATTAATACTCATAAAGTTCAATCTTAATTTACATTCATCATATTCCTTATGATTATTACATCTAGAAGCTATAATTTCGTTATTTTCTTCCTACTAATAGTGCTGATGAGTGACTTTAATCAACTGTTTGAGTTGAAAACATTAGAGATTCGAGGATCGAAGAACAGTAACTTTACATTGATATTTGATGAGCCTATAGCATGGATTAATCATTTAAACATTGATTCGATCAATATTGAAGCAGCAGACACGATGAGATTTAGACCAAATCTTGAAGAAATTGATCCTTCCGAAAATTTTAATTACATTCCCAACAGTGAGCGTGTAGAGTACAACATTTCATTTCAGACATCTGAAGAGTTAAAGGAAGTTGAAATTGTTCCATACGAAGTCTATAAAATGGAAAAACTTACAGCGGAACTAAGGTTGAGAACAATTTCATTTTACGGATGGGATAATCTCAAGGTTCTTCGTATCAAAGGCTGTGATATGAATGAACTGTTTTGGGAAATGTTTGACGGATTGACAAATCTCGAGCACTTATCACTTGAAGATAACGGAATCAAGGATATACCGCCTTTTACATTCTATGGAACGCCTAATATTAAGTCACTGTCATTGTCACATAATGAGATTATAGATATGGGATATCGATCATTAGCTGGATTATTAGGACTTCAGTTGCTTGATTTAAGCTCCAATAATATTGGAAAACTATCTGAGCATACATTCCCGCCATTTCCGAAACTAGAAATTGTGGATTTACGAGCAAATCCAATAAATAATCTATTCTCGTCCATTTTCGGTGTCATGAATCGAACGGAAGTGCTATACATTGGAGATGAAAATATTCCGTTAGAGCTTAACGCTGAAAAGCCGTTCGAAGACCTCAACTCGTTAATTTATCTGGAAATCCCCAACCTATACGTAACACAACTCGAAGAAAACATTTTCTCATCATTGCAAAATCTCGAGATTCTTAAAATTAAAAGTGGAAATATTCCATTCATTGAATTCGACACGTTCTCAAAGCTGCTGAACTTGAAAGAACTGCATATGAGTAATTGCCAGATCCAGGAAATGTCAATGGATACATTTTTTGGCGCGAAAAAACTAGAAATTGTCGATCTTTCCTACAATCAATTAAAGTCGATTCCACAAGGCTTATTTGATGATCAGCATGATTTGAAGGAAATTTATCTCAACGACAATCAATTAACAGCACTTCCGAAAGACATATTTAAATTAAATTCTCTAAAAATGATTCAATTGCTTAATAATCCTTGGGATTGTACATGCGACATGAGAGATTGGCGTCAGGGATTAAGTAACAAAATTAGGGCACATAAAATTGAGAATAAATGTTCTGATAACGCTTCTAGGCACAGCAAGTTCAATTGTGAGAGCACATCAATGCAAACCTATAAATTCGATCATAAATTGTCACCAAAATGCTCTACACCAGTTAATTTGAAAGACAAAAGTGTATTTTATGCATTAAGGCGTGTCTTACGCTGCGCGATTCCGATTAAAGTTCAAAATACGACGATGAAACCAGAATCGCGAGTCAAAAAGATAAATATCAAAGCAAAGTATGAAAAGCACGTGAATGAAGTGAAGAAGAAGAAGCAACAAATCGCTCAAAAAAATACACTGGAATATCAACTCTTTCATCGTAGGAATTACGAAAACATGCGAATTAGGCACAACAATGTCTATGACATGAACCGTGACGACAGAGATAACAATATAATGAAGAAATAACTTGTTGCTTACATAATATTCAAGGCTCGAGCAATATCTAATTGTTTTTAATATCAGCTTAACTGGATTCAGTAGTTCTTAAGGCTTAATTTTTGTATAATTCATGACTCGGAAGAAATTTTTAATAAAGCTAAAATATCAAAACTTACCTCTTAAAAGAGTTGCTAATGATCCTTTATAGATACTTCTAATTCCACCTTCCTTGTACAATTGTCTAGCACAGTCAATCATTCCTTTGTACTTTTGTTCACCACCGCTGCCTTGTTGAACTTGGAGTAAGCACTTAATACGCTCACCAGGAGCCATAACTGACGTTGTGAATATTCCTGAGAATGCACCAGCCATAAACAGTCTTGTATTACTCAGTGGCTGATCATCTTGTTGTAACAACTTTTTTCCTACACCAAAACCGAAGAAGCTGATTGCAAAAATTGGTGCGACGCCTGTGAAACATACAATCATCTATCAGACATCTAGTTGAAATTATAAACAAGATACTACTTACCAGCAATTGGTGCACTCATTCCTTAAAAGATACAGAAGATTAGAAATTTATCATGCAAATCTCTGGATGTTTAAAAATTACCTTTGTACAATCCACGAACTCCTTCTTTCTGGATTGTTTTTGATGCACAATCCATCATCCCAGAATAGGATGAGTTGGTCTGTAATCGCACTTTAATGGTATCAAAAGGATGTCCAACAATCTGAAAAGATTAAAATTTTAAGCAGGAATTATTCTCACTGGATCTTATTTGATCTTACCACAGTACATATTCCACCAAATCCACCACTAATAAAGTACTTAATTGGTGATTGATTGACAACAGGCGCTTGTGTTTCCGCTAATTTATCTTCAGACATTTTTCTAGATTTTGGGATTTATGTAAACAACCTTTGAACTTTCGGCAAATTTCACTTAATTTGATAATGATATGCAGGAATTTTTGAAGCAACGATGATGAATTGACCAACGATATTAATTAAAGGATTCTTAGAATGTATATCCTCTAATTCCGTTGTGATGTGGCAAAATTAGTTAAAACTTTCTTTTTATTGGATTCTTGTTTTGAAAGTTGAAAAAACTTGCAAAACGAAAAAAGCGCTTTTAAAACAACGACTGAAAAATATTTGAATTTTTGTGTTTTCTACACATCAACTTTTCAAAAAATGTTTTTAACGACTTTTTTCGCTAATGTTTCTTAACCATGTGACAGTTAACTAGTCACGTGACTAGCGAAAGTATCAAACTTAAATTCATTTGAAATGTAGAGCTAAGAGCAACTATTATACTGAGCAAAAATACACAACTGGAGTCCCCCTGTTGCTCTGTCTTTGTAAATAAATAGGCAAACAAAACAAAACAACTTCCCATTTTCGACTTACGTGTTATCGGCACCGCGACTGTTTTTTATACTTCATACGTGTCTTTTATCAAACTTTTATATATCTAAACTTTTAATTGACAATGTTACCGATATCGTCAGATGGAAATGTTGCCAGGAAAGTCGCATTAATTACTGGAATTACAGGACAAGTAAGTAAATTTTGTTTACTTCCTCATAATAACCGGTGATTAAACATAATCAATTATCTTTCAGGATGGATCATATCTTGCTGAATTCTTACTTCTAAAAGGCTATGAAGTTCATGGAATCATAAGGAGAAGTTCCAGTTTCAATACACACAGAATAGAACATTTATATCAAAATCCATATTCACATACAGAAGGTGCATCCTTTAAACTTCATTATGGTGATATGACTGACAGCTCATGCTTAGTTAAGATTATTGTTCAAGTTAAGCCAACGGAAATTTATAATCTTGCTGCACAATCTCATGTCAAAATCTCATTTGACTTAAGTGAATATACAGCTGAAGTGGACGGTGTAGGAACTTTACGTTTACTGGATGCTATTAGAACTTGTGGATTAGATCAACAAGTTAGATTCTATCAAGCATCAACATCAGAATTGTATGGAAAAGTTGTGGAAACTCCTCAAACTGAAAAGACACCATTTTATCCAAGAAGTCCATATGCAGTTGCTAAATTGTATGGCTACTGGATCATTATTAATTACCGTGAAGCCTACGGTATGTATGCATGTAATGGTATTTTATTTAATCATGAATCACCAAGAAGAGGTGAGAATTTCGTGACACGAAAAATCACCAGATCAGTCGCTAAAATTTCATTAAATCAACAAGAGTTCTTGGAACTTGGTAATCTTGATTCAAAACGTGATTGGGGTCATGCTAAGGACTACGTAGAAGCTATGTGGATGATGTTACAGCAGGATAAACCAGAAGACTTTGTAATTGCTACAGGAGAGACTCGCAGTGTTCGAGAGTTTGTCGAAGCTTCATTTAGACATATTGGAAAGGAAATTGAATGGCGTGGTAGTGGAGTCGATGAAGTTGGTGTCGAAAAAGGAACTGATATCGTTCGTGTCAAAGTCAATCCAAAGTATTTTAGGCCAACAGAAGTTGATTTGTTGCTTGGTGACTCTACAAAAGCTAGAACATTGCTTGGATGGACACCAAAATGTGGTTTCGCTGAACTAGTCAAAGACATGATGGACTCAGATATTGCATTAATGAAGAAGAATCCATTAGCATAATTTTCTGTTACTATAGCCGCGGCACATCATTCCAGAATTTACCGTTATGATAGCGGTTCATTTTCCTGTTTTGATTTTATTCGCAGAAATTTACATTTTATTTTATTATTATTTTTTTTTGTACTAATCACAAAAAATAATACTTTAGCTTTATGAGACTACGAAATGAGTATATGATTTCTGAAATCACGTTGTGTCGCAAAAATTTTTATGTAAGGTATTTTTTATTCAGATTTTTACTATGACTTCTATTTACATTTATTATAAACTTACTTATCGTGTAAAATAATAAAATATTGCCCAAATCAAGATTTAAATGTGATAAAAATGTTTGCTTTTTCTAGAGAGAAATTAGGTCGAGACTTTATTCCGTGGCAGATATTTTTTGATATCACAGCTGAAAATGAGAAAAAGATTAGAAATTTGTTGCTTTTTATCTCTTGTTTTGCGAAAGTATTTGCCTAAGAAACTTTTGTGTTGAATTTATTTTGAAATAGTTTCAGATTGGTTTCTTCAAAAGTTTCATTTGATGCTATTTGATCACCTCTTCAAAATTTAGACTTCTTGGAAATTGCTTATGACTAGCAGAAGCTATTTTTTTCCATAATGTCTGCAAAATTCTGGCATCTGTCATTAATGATCAACTTGTTAAATTTCAGTTTGATCAGTTTCGTGTTGCTTTATCAAAATTGAAACACCGACTCTTAATCTAATTTGACAGTTTTAAATCATTTCGATCAGTTTTGCATCCTTTACAAAGATTTTTAGACAATCTATTTTTCTCGAGAAGTTCGAATTATAAACAAGAAATTTAAAATTTCTTTAAAATCTCAATTTCTTATTTGATTTTAGCAAACCTCATAAAGAGGCAGAAACAGAAACTTAATCCGATTTCTTCTTTACTGTGGCAAAATTTAGAGATTTTACTGTCACAACATCACACTATTCCTAGAGATCTAACGGAATTTCACTTTCGTTTGATAGTTGATTCGTCCATAAATGGGAATATTTGTCTTTTTTGTCTAAACAACGTGAGATCTTTCAACGGCATCTTTATGGCTCATTAATTATATTCTATTGTCTAAATGTGTGCCAAAATTTCAGACAAGTCTCATAAAATTTATTAATAAACAGTTACTGGATTTTATTGGATAAATTGACGCTCAGATATTTTTGACATGAATATTTAACAAATTACTGAATGTCATTAATTGAAAATGTTAATTTTAGGTTCGTTTCTAGTTTTTCAAGTTTTTTCTGATTCCAAATTTAACCGATATAAGAATCAATGGAAATTGAATCTGCCAAAATTGCTGCATGATCGATTTAAGTAAATTAAAATCAGCATTACGTAATGAATTAACTGTTCATAAAATATAAATTATTATCTAATCAGTCCAATGTGTTATCATATACACCAAATGACTAATGCCATATTAATATGAATATAATTTAATCATTTTCATTCAAAATAACATTTTGAAACACTCAAATCATTGGAATTAAATAAATTAGTAGGGAAATGACAAGACTTTCACCATTATTTTTGTCATAAAACATTTCTTTACTTATGCATTTTGATCAAGATGAAGTCAGAGAAACTAAACCTTTAAGTAAATGGTAAAATTCCCGCCAAAATGTAAGTATGAAGTATTATCACGAGTCTTAAAATTCCATATTGTTTTAAATGTCCTCAGAGTAATTGCACTATTTTAAAACTCTTTCACGAGTTTCCATGACAATTCAAACAAGTTAAAAATTTACTCTGTTACTGTCTCTAAATGCATGATTATCATCGATCGCCTCACACATGTTACTCCTGTTTTTATTGCCAACCAACCAATTCAAAATTCATACACGACCACCTAGTTTGATGGAAATAATCTTTTTGATGTGATGATGAAAAGTTATAAAAGCGTTAAAAAATAAAATAAATAAAAGTGAAAATTGGCATCAAGCGCTTCCACTGCCATACTGATGTGGTTTTTTATGAGATGTAATTAAATCTCCTGAAAATCGTTTTTTTTTTCTCTCCCTGATGCTCTATTATTTTATTACGAGCAATTTGATGGTGATTTTCATTTTTATTCCTCTTATTTTTTTTGTTACTGACATGATTTTATTTTTTCGAAACAATTGATTGAAAGAATTTAAGGCTTTATGTATTGAAGTTTTTTGTGATTCACTAAACTGTTTAGATGATAAATTTTAATTGTTTATCCATATATTCAGGATATGATGGGATATAACATGGAATATCTGGGCATATCTTCAAAAGATTTGAAGACTAAAACGCTGAAAACTTGTAATACTTAATCTATTAAACTTAAGATCAGAATCTTTGTTATTAACATTAGAACAGCTTTACTTTGGATTTTAACAAGAATTAAACAACATTAGATTGATAATTGATATAAGTAAGTTCTTCGTTAACAGATTAGCTCTGATCATTAAAGAATTAAGCGAAGTGTTTTCTTTGAGAACGATTAATTGGTTTTCTTTAAGCTAGTTTAGTCTCAAAAACGTATCATTATTAATAAACAAGAAGGAACTAGATTCTTAGTTTAAACTCAAATTGACCCAAGTTAATCAAATAAACCAACAAAATAAGTCAAAACTTGGTCACAATATTTTCCCACTCATAAGTCAATCCCTGGATCATTCATTTAAATGTCATCTGACTCATAAAACTGAGTAAATCATAAAAATAATGTTGAAATCCAGCATAATATCATAAACTCCTGTATGTTGGTGAAACGCGTGATAAAATTGTGAAACAACAGAAAAATTCTCTCGACGGTTTGTTTAATTTTTATGAATTGTTTATTTAATATTTTAATATTCTCGACAACATCAGAGACGAGTCAGTCGGTTATTAAATTAAAAGGAATATTTTTTGAGAACAAAAATAAAAAAAAATATAAAATAATTTTTATAACCGCACACAAATATTTTTAATGGAGCAAATCGAAACAAGACAAAAAAGATTTTTATGCTGCAGAAGAAAATCTGTGAATGTTAAAATTGTTTAGCACAAATGGCAAGGTCTCACACGATGCGAAATATTTCAAAATATAAAGAATCTTCAACTTGCTGTAAATGCATGACTTGAAATATTTTGCGGAAAGTGCAAGAACGATAAAAAGTCACATGACAAATTATTCACTGACATTTCGGTTTTAAATCATCAAAATTTTTCACTTGCTAGTCTGAAATTTCCTAGAGCAGAACGACAGTGAATCAGCAAATAACTCAATGACAAAGTAAATTTAAATGTTCATGAATCAAATTATCAACTTTTACAAAAATAGTTTCAGTTATCTAGCCAGCATTTCGGTATCCTTTGAAATCACAGCTCATGCCCTATCATGTATGTTTGAACTTCCTCTTGCACGCCTCATTTACATCTCTTAACATTCACTCTGTGGTTGAAATAAACTGAAATGAATTGCTTTTCGGTATGCATCAACACTTGTGAGTGTGTTGAGTAAGAATAATCCTTCTTAATTAATTAATTAATGTGATCTTGTCGAGGGTAAATGTCTTTGAAATTTAATTTTTAACATTACGTCAAGTTGTGAGGCTTATAATTAATTGGAACAAATTATAATAAAAATGGAAAGTTCATTGTTGCAACTGTTCTAGATTTAACTTGAATGACTTTCAATTTATGGATTATTTAACTATTTGTCGTGATTCGAGAAGTCATTAGTTTTCCAGGTAGTTTTCTCTTTTTGCATTGCGACAGAAAATAAAATGCAACTTTGGGTCACGATTTGGTCAAGACTGAAATTCATGTATGCAATTTCTTTAGTAATTTTTTTATGAAGTCCTGTTGCAAAATATTTAATTCTAGAGTTTACTAAAGTATTTAATATTTAAGTTTTAATCCTTTTCATGTCAAAAACTCAATGTTTTTATTAATAAAAAAACAAATGTAATGTTTAAAAGATTCAGGATTTTAATTTTGGACATTCTTAATCTATCAAAAGCCTAGTTTTGACTCAGCTTGTGAATACTAAGAATACTAAGCTTAGATTTAGATCTTGGATAAACTGAATTTATAAAATTATTGACAAAGTTTACAACCTGACTTTTTAATTAAAATTATATTTGTAGAGTATCAGTCACTTAAAGATTAATTGAACAGTAAAAGCTGTGATCTAATAATTAAATTAAAGTAAACATTGATTGATAATCACAATTTAAATCAAAAGAAAAGTGAAAATTATCAAAATAGAAAAAAAGTTTGTAGCTAAATCAACAAGACACAGGGCCTAGTCACTAGCTTCATGTCAAGAATTCAAAGTTTAAATAACCGTTATGAAATCTAAACAATAAATCAATAAGAATAACAAACATGACAACAAATTAAAACCAAAATTAAGATCACAAATCATGCAACAAACGAGAAAAAGTCCAAAAACAAATTTCAAACGATGATAAATGCTTTAAAACTCGAAATGTTTCTGTTTAAAGCAAAGAAAAAAAAAGAATAATAAATAGTAAGTACAATCAATCATTTGTATATAAATTAACACGATAATATAGCAAAATGTAAAGAGCAAAAACGAAGTCATAAAAATTTTCCACGAAAAAAAAAACCTCAAACAATTTTCTTTTTACACAATCAAGTGAGAAAGGAGAACGAAAAAAAAAAATCAAAAGAGAAGAAAATCAAAGAAAAGCTATAAAAATGCAATAAAAAATCGGTTAAGAAATTAGTACAAAAATACCAAGTAACAACAAGATTTGCTATTATCGGTAAAAGTAAAAAAGACTTGACTATGTTTATTATTGTTGGTAAATAATTATACAAAATGTACACAAAATTTTAGAGGCTAGTTTTGAGTTGTTTACCAAAACAACTTCCTTTGATGTTCTCTTCTATTTGATCTTTCCTTCTCACTCATTTCATTGATAAATTTTCATCGCGAAAAAGATTTTTTTTTTGAAAATTAATGATTTTTAACACGTTTTTATCTTCTTAATGCCTTAAGTGAAGCTGCGCAAACTTAAAACGTATTAATTTCAGTATGATTTCAAACATTCTTTGATGCTTGGTGTTGTTTGCTAATCTGGATAATTTTAAATCACACTTTTAAGAAGGATCTTATTAGGTGAGTTGGCCAGAGTTTTTAATTTGTTCTAATATAGTGATTAACTCAGTAAATTCAACTAAAGAGTTTGATATTACAGCTTATTGCCTTACCAATTTGGGCTATATTCTCTTGTTTCGTACTATTGCAAGTTTGACAATACAAATCCCGAATAGTACAAGTTACCACGAAGTCTTCTTATATCTATCTTATCTACTCGAT